CGCGGGAAAAAGTAAAGAGCTTTGTCGCGCGCTCGGCGGTATCAAAAGCCTGAATGACGCGACGATGAAAGAAGGAGAGAGAGTATCGGTACAAGAAACTGCCGGGAGTGAATACTGAAAAGAATGTGCTCTCTCTTGGGGGGTGCCGACCGAGGGGTGGGCAAGACTCCCCCCCCCCCCGGGCTCTGCGAGCAAAAACCCTGGAAAATCAGCGGGGCCAGAGAGGGGTGGGCGTCGAAGGACCCCGAGCAGAAAGTGCATCGGACGGCCCCCGTCAAAGAGTTAAAAGGGATTTCATTATCTTCGGACTTTTGTGAGAGATATCATTAGTGCGCCGACTCCGCCGAGGATGATTTTTCGAATCCCCGAGCTCTGTACTCTAGGGGTGGACTTGCCCCAGGGAGGGTAAATTCCGTGATTTAAAAACTCCTCCCGCTAATACGCGCCCTGGAGGACGCGGCGTTCTCCAAAATGGCGGCAAGTCTCCCGGATAAAAAATCGCCCTGACTCGGGATAATCGTCAATGGCCGGCCGAATGGAATTCTAATAGTAAAGTCGGGCATACCGGATTACGCTAAACTGTAGGAGCCTTCAAAGCGAGTCACTCCCTGTGTATACAGGGTGTCTTGTATAGGAGCCGGGAGGAGAGGGACGTGAAAGGAGGGTTGAAAGCCGTACTCGGCAGCGTATGCAGATAATCGGTACAAAGCCTTTCGTACGATGACAAAGGACGGAGAGAGCGTCGCCCGGAGAAAGGGGGAAGGAGGAAGCGAGAGAGAGAGAAAGCTCCTGGCCAGCTCTCTATATTAGACTTTGTATTATTATATAGGGCGGCGCGCCGCGAAATTCCAGCAGACCGAGCCCGCCGCCCATTTTCTCGGGCGCAGTAATAATTCCTCGCCTCGTCGCCGTCGTCCTTGCGCGTCCCGCAGGACGCGGAAATCGCGAAGCGCCCCCTCCCTCTTTCGTCCCCCCCGTCGACTTTCCCCTTCGTGTTTGTTTCCCATTAAATTCCTTGGATTAAATAATCGATGGGACCTCGATTACTTCCGACCAGCCGCGAGGATTCCCTCGGACGCGTGCCGAGCGAGTATGTACATCGCGGTACACGCGGTACGACCTTATGTCGCGAGCTATGTACGAGCGAGAGGTGACGTCTTACTCGGATAAAAGTCCCGGAAGTCTATTAATCACGCGGGAGCATTGTGGCATTCAGCCCGCGCCGTTCGCCGCTCCAATATTATCAATACCGAGCCGCCATCCGCGGCTATTGAAAAGAGAGTTTATCAATAGCGAGGGCGCGAGTGCGAGGGAGAGGGCGGCATGGGCGACAGGCCGGGGAAGAGAGAGAGGGAGCGAGGGCGCGCGGGACACTCCCGCGTTCTCGCCCGGCTTCGCGAAAAGCTGACGTTCGTTCGTCGCAACTTTTCACGGCCCCACCTCCCCCGGCCCTCCCCGCTCCAAGATGGTCCTCTGAGCCGGGAGACCATTTCTGGGGAGAGACGAGGAAACGGGTACAAATTATAAATGAAGACACACGAATGTAGATAAAAATTGATGAACATTAATCGGAGCACGTGGGAGGGATCGGTGATTTTTTTTCTTCTTTTTTTTTCTTTTTATATCGATATGACCCCTCGCAATTATCTAAGAGGGGGGAAATGGACCCTCTTAGGCCTTAGGGGTCCGGACCTTTCTCATCGCGACGACTTAATCCTCTGGAGTAAGGGAGTCCTCGAGGGGGAGGATCGCGACGATCGCCGGCGATTTGAAGGGCACAATACCCGGGTCACATATTTTCGGATCCGAAACGGATTTGCGCCGAGTGGCGCGGATTATTGCCGGAACTTCCGGAACGTGGAGGAGGTCGCGGGAGCTTTCGGACGGACACTTGGGTGGACGAAAGTGCGAGAGCATCGGGGGGGGGGGGCGAGGACGAAAGGGGATTGGTCGGGATCCGGATCCGGCATCGGAGCTCTCGGTCGCTTATCCGCGAGGCATGTGCGGAGAGCAGGGAGGGGCCGGTATTTTATTCCGCGTTTCTGTCCGCGGAAAGGGCCGGGGGTGAAACAATGCGCTTTTGTGGCCGAAAGAAACGGAAAAGTCGAGTCAAAGGGAGCTAAGAGCGATTGAAATACTCGAGAGTCCTGCGGCCGAGTCAAGCCGGCGCATCTTTTCTCTCGCTTCGGTATCTCCCTTCTTCCCCCCTGCATATATCCGAGACTCACTCCGTGAGAACAATTCTTTTCGCATAAATTTTCAAACCATTTCTGCGCAGGATTTTTGAGGCCCTCCCAGAGGCTCGTCCTCGTCCCGATGTCTCATGGGCAGAAATGAAAAGAGCGTCCTTATCGATTTTCCACGGAGTCGAAATTTTGATTCCAGGTGGAGTCGCCCCTGCGACTTTCCGGACTATCGAGAAGGTAGGACCGAAGGGGGTGGCAGATCGCAGGTTGCAGGTCGACAGGACTTCCCCCGGAATCCCGGGCGAAGCGTCGTGGCCCGAGCACGCATTGTCCTCCCGTCACCGGGAGCTCGACAATACCGACTCCCCGAGTTGGTAACCCTACCGTAAAAACTTATTTCTTCCCCCAAACTTCGAGAGATTCCGTTCGGTTCCGGCTGCCTCTTCTATGCTCGCTTCCGGTTTTTCTCCCCGTCCCGCCCCCCGGCCGGGAAGTTTATTCCTGGACAACAAGAGGGCGGATCGTCGAGCCCTAGTAGCTCCCGTTGTGATCCTAAACAGTATCTCCGTGACCTTCTTCTCCCCTGACAATAAGTCCAGCAGGAATCGAGGCCTAGGGAGGTCCGGGATTAATCTCGATTTCTTGACTTTTCGGCAACTCCAGGGACCAATTTCCACGGTGGCCAGTTATGGGGATTTGGCTCTTGCAGCCCTGGCGAACGCCTGAGGTTCTTCCTGGTCCCTTCTCGAGGTGGTACCCAGGAGCGGAAGCAATACAGATCGGCCGGAGGTTGTCGGTCTCAAAAGTAGGAAGCGGCCAGCATCCCGTGGACCGGATACAAACATTAGGAGATGGCGGGTGGTCTCTCGTCGGGGCCTGAAGTTGCCGTCTAGCCGGACGACGCGCGGTCACCGGACAAAGCTCCTCTAATTGTCCCCATCAGCGACGAAGAATGGACCGCGGGCCTGCCGCTGACAATTTCATTTGTAATTTGCATAAGGCTTATTAAAATCACAATGGATGCGTACCCTGGAGCCGAGATGATTCGGGCGTGCTCGTCTCTATCGACGAGCCAGGACGGTAGCCCGAGCCGTTCTCCACCCTGACCTCGGTAGGGGTAACGACGGTATACCTTTCACCTCCAATCGTCTCCTTCTTATACCCAAACTCCTCCCCCCAAACATTCCTTATAAAATCAGCAAGCTGTACCAATTTTTCCGTAATTTTCATATAAACCACAAGTTCTTAAAAAAATTTATTTTTTCCAAATTGCAACTCACCCTGTGCAGATCGGATGCGTTTAGCCCTGGCCACCCTCGGGAGTCCTCGATAAAGGTATCCTCGTGTCACTGTTGCACTTTCGTTTTACTCGTCAATTTTTTTCAACCGAACTCGCGGGCGAACATCGGGATAAAAAATCGGAGCACCACCCTGACTTCGACCGGCTGAAAGAGAAAGGGTGGAAAATCATTTTTCACATTATACGTTTCGGTGGAAATAAGCGAAAATCAATCGTTGAAGATATTTACCGGAGGACGTGGACGTTATGGACACGTGTTGGGTTAGCGCATGGACATACTCGCGAAAATGCGTTTAAATCGATATCGCGATCGTACAGATGCGGCATTATTGGGAAATAAGAGAAACGGGATTGAACGAAATTTTTTATTTTAATTTTAGGAAGGTAGTGCGACTGATCAAAGGACCGTTTCGTAGAGGTAACGTCGGAACGCACGAAGAACACTCCCGACACAACCGGCACGCACGGACGACGACGCGAAACTGAACCTGCCTGAAGTCTGGCACATTGCGCGGTCGCTGTACCCCCCTCCCCCCGGATAAGCTCTCCCCCCACCACGTATGCGCACTTGGATTTTCCCCTGTTGATATTTTACTATATTTTATTATTCATTTACGCATCTTATCGAACATGTCGGGGATAGAATAGAGTTATATCATTCAAGGGCGTCGTACCATTTTTTAGATTCGCAGTAAAGATAAAAATAGGTACTTTTCAACATTGGTCCGGTTTAACGCAATCACCAACAGAGTTAGATATATAACCTTCCTTGCAAAAGCATCCTACAATGCAATTTGCTGTTCTAACTCTACAGGAATCCGAAGGGCGATTAAGAGTCTCACAAGTTACACATGGTGCACTTGGACCACAGCTCATGTACTCTTCGTTCTCCGGACAATTAATGCCTGTAATCATGGTAAAAATGTTATAACGATTAAAATCACCATCAACGATTATGTAACGAAAGAAATATGAAAATTATCGTAATAGTTTACGTTACTGGCGTTATTATAAATACCCTGAGCGTTTCCTCTTTGCAAATGGACGACGACGCAGGAAATCGAGAAGAACGCAACGAGAATTGAGAACGACATGGCTGGTTATATTTTCAAAACGGTATTCGTCGGTCCTCGGCGATTTCGCAATATAAATACCTCCTCGAGTTGAGCAAGAAAGTACGTAATTGCAAATGGGAGGTGATAGATACTAGGTTTTAAAAAAGTGTAAAAGCAGGTATGTCGATGAGAGATAATAATAATTTTAGTCACGTGATGAAATATTTCATTTTTCAAAGGCAAATGTTTTTTTATGTATAGACGGACAAAGTAAGAATTAATATAGAAAGTAAATAAAAATCTGTTAAAATAATGATGAAACACTGGTATTATTAATCTAATCCGTAATAATTGATCAGAAGGAAATCTCACTGATGAATTTGAGCTTCAGAAAAAGGGGCAAGTGGTACCGAGACAGTGGCGCCACGAGAGGTGGACAAATCGTGAAAGTGGCGACAATTTCTGGTCGATACATTTAATAACAGTTGATAATAGTCCTTGGATATTTAATATAACAGCATGAATATTCATGGATAATGGTAAAATCATTCATGGAAAATGTATGATTGTAGTTTAAAGAGCAACTGATGAGAAGGAATTTATTTTGGGTTAGGAAGCTCGAAACACCGACTGATCTTTGAGGTTAGAATTGACATTTTCTATGTTTTTAGCTAATTTAATGGTTCATGTGTTACGTATTTGAGAAAATGATAAGGATTTAATTTTGAAATTAATTAGTTCAACGTGTAGTTGATCACCCACGCAAAATGAGCAGGTATCGAAAGGAGGAGTCTTTAAGCGAAGACAGCGACAGCGAGGAAGAGAGGCGTAGAAAAGATATTAAAGAACGAGACGAATTCAGCAGTCGACTAAAAGCTAAAGATGAAAGTAAAGTACGAAAACTTGCTATGCCTGCTGGCTCTGGAGCAGGTAAATTCAAAAGGCCACTTCTGCCTATGTCTAATTTAACTATGTATGCATTCTTTAATTGCGTTATAATTTTAAAGCCGAAGCTGCTAAAAGACTCAAAATCATGGAAGCCGATTCAAAGGAAAAACTTGTACCTAAACTACGTGTCGAATCTCGCAGGAAATATTTGGAAAAGCGGAAGGAGGATAAAGTTGCTGAGCTAGAAGCTGATATAATTGACGATGAATACCTGTTTGAAGAAGAAATGTAACTACTTTGACAAATTAAGTATCTTACACTGAATATTAAAAATTGGCATGAAATTAAAAAATCTGTTTAAACTCAGTCTTACAGAGCGAGAAAAAAGGGAGCGACAGCACAAAAGACAATTACTGCAGTTGGCAAAAGAACATGAAAAAGCTAGAGAACTTGAAAGGGTTCAACGATACCACATGCCTTTGGAAAAAGGAAAAGTGGAAAATGAGGTGGAATCTATGGATAACGAACCACCTCAATCGGAGCAGAGTAAATGGGAATCTGATCAAATGTCTTCAGCAGTCTTTCGGTTTGGTGCAAAAGATAGGAAAGGTATGCTCCTGTGATTACAGTACTACCTAATTATTTTTTTCATTTTATAATTTATATTTGTTATAATAAATAATTTTGTTACGTAGCCAAAGAAGATTACGATCTCCTTCTTGAAGATGAAGTGGAATTTGTACAAGCATTACAAATGCCGGGCAGCACAAAAGATAAACGAGAGAGTGCTCAGCCATCTCAAACTAAGACGTTGACTACTATCGAGGAAACGAAAAGAAGTCTGCCTATTTATCCATTTAGAGATAGTCTTATTCAAGCTATCAGAGATCATCAGGTGCATACAAAAATTTGTCCTGTCCAAGAAAAATTTTTTTTTGTCATAATTCTACATTAAGTTTTCAAATCCATGTATTATTACATTACATACTGATCTCTTCAGGTCTTAATCATCGAAGGAGAAACTGGATCTGGAAAAACGACGCAGATCCCGCAATACCTCTATGAATCAGGATTTACTAACGATGGTAAATTAATCGGATGCACACAGCCAAGAAGAGTGGCGACTATGGCAGTGGCTGCCAGAGTGGCACATGAAATGGCCGTAAAATTAGGCAATGAAGTTGGCTATGCGATTCGCTTCGAAGACTGCACTTCGCATAGAACACGAATTAAGTACATGACAGATGGTACCTTACATCGAGAATTTCTAAGCGAACCTGACCTGGCTTCTTACAGGTAAGCTTCTAATATAAAATGTCATCCTGCATAAATCTAAAATTAATTTTTTTTTTAATACAGCGTAATGATCATCGACGAGGCTCACGAGCGCACTTTGCACACGGACATTCTATTTGGCCTGGTCAAGGATATCACTCGCTTTCGTACAGACTTAAAACTGTTGATATCGTCGGCAACTTTAGATGCCACTAAATTCAGTGAATTTTTCGACGATGCTCCAATTTTTCGGATACCTGGCCGTAGATTCCCAGTTGACATTTATTACACCAAAGCTCCGGAAGCTGATTACATCGACGCCTGTGTTGTATCCATATTACAGATTCATGCTACACAACCTTCTGGGGACGTACTAGTCTTCCTTACTGGTGAATGTCTAAATTTGATACATATTATTGCGTTTTTTATTTTAGACTTTAATAACGGATTTATTCTAAGGTCAGGACGAAATTGAGACGTGCCAGGAAATGCTTCAGGAGAGAGTCAGAAGGCTCGGGACCAAGTTAGCAGAACTGCTGATTCTACCGGTTTATGCAAATCTGCCGAGCGACATGCAAGCGAAAATCTTCCAACCCACTCCACCTGGGGCTAGAAAAGTACTATTAATATTTCTTGAACAATTATTTTATCATACAAAAAAATAATGCACCCTAAAATTAACGATTCATTGTTCCTTCTGCAGGTAGTACTTGCTACGAATATCGCGGAGACATCGTTAACTATTGACAACATCGTCTACGTGATAGACCCCGGTTTCGCGAAACAAAATAATTTTAATTCCCGAACGGGCATGGAAAGCTTAATGGTTGTGCCCATTAGTAAAGCTTCTGCAAATCAGAGAGCAGGAAGAGCCGGAAGAGTTTCCCCAGGCAAATGTTTTCGTCTGTACACAGCATGGGCTTATCAACACGAACTCGAGGATAATACAGTTCCGGAAATACAAAGGATAAATCTCGGTAGGTTTCATCATACGGAATTGATAATCCAGGTTAAAAATATGCCAAGAGACTGTAACGTGGTTGACAATTTTTAGGCAATGCCGTTTTGACTCTGAAGGCATTGGGAATCAACGATTTGGTGCATTTTGATTTTCTGGACCCTCCACCGCACGAGACCCTCGTATTAGCTTTGGAACAACTTTATGCCCTCGGTGCGTTGAACCATCGTGGCGAACTTACAAAACTCGGCCGAAGAATGGCAGAATTTCCTCTCGACCCGATGATGGCTAAGATGCTGCTAGCCAGCGAGAAATATAAATGCTCCGAGGAGGTAGCCACTATCGCGGCCATGCTCTCGGTAAATGGGGCCATTTTTTACAGGCCAAAGGATAAAATAATCCATGCCGATACGGCGCGAAAAAATTTCCACGTACCTGGTGGCGACCATCTTACCTTACTCAACGTTTACAATCAGTGGCAACAGAGTGACTTCAGCACTCATTGGTGTTACGAAAACTTCATCCAGCATAGGTATTAAAAATATTACAGGCGCCCTGATAAGCAATTTATTACGAACTAAGGATATATCTTCTCGTAGGTCAATGAAAAGGGCCAGAGACGTAAGGGAACAACTGGTAGGACTGATGCAACGAGTCGAGATGGAACTCGTCTCGGGAATAACGGAAACCATTAACATTAGGAAGGTAAAATGATGCGTTCACGACCGATTTAACGGCAATACTTAACGGAATGAATATTTCACAGGCAATAACAGCTGGATACTTTTACCACGTTGCGAGACTATCGAAGGGAGGAAATTACAAAACGGCAAAGCATAATCAAACGGTCTCCATTCATCCCAACAGTTCGCTCTTTCAAGAATTGCCAAGGTGGCTGCTTTACCATGAACTGGTGTTCACGACAAAGGAGTTCATGCGGCAGGTGACAGAGATCGAGAGCAAGTGGTTGTTAGAAGTCGCTCCACATTACTACAAACCCAAAGAACTAGAAGACACGACGAATAAAAAAATGCCGAAAGTCGCGGGTAGAGCACGACCGGACGGTACGAATTAACGTGACGGTATTTCTTCGAGAGTATCTTCCGGCCTAGAACGGTAGCGAGCAAGATTATTTTGTACAACTGTCCATTTTTAATATTCAAAACGAATAAACGTTCCAGAAAAAAAAAAAAACAACAAAAAGAAAAATAAATCGTTTCTTCGAATCCCGTAAAAATTACACGAAAGTGCAGCCAACGGATACATAACATACATATTTATTATTTATGATTCGATATCATAATATAATATTATCTGTCTAAACACAACGCTAACATATAATTCTATATCCAATCGTACTTCGAATTGTAATCGTAAACCTCCCTATCAGCGACTTAAAGATTACAAAAAAAGTGTTCAGTTAACGCGCTTGAAAAAAAAATATTGTTTATCCGTTATCACGAAGCTGAACGTTGCCTGTGCTTCTCTATCTCGGCGTGTTATCGCCGTAAAATTCATTACGCGTTCGCCAGACTTTTCTTCACGCGATCAATGACGCATTATCCAGTGAAACTATGCCAACGAAGCTCTCCGCTCTCGTTTCTTCCGATAACTTTCCATTAGTCAATCGTAAAAAAATACTCTCAAAGGCGAAACCCCGTATCGACCTCGAAGCATTCGTCGATCACTCGGTCCCCCCCGGAACGATTAATAGTTTAATTTCTCTCTGGATAAAACTTAATGTCTACGCAATAAATGTCTATTAAATGTTAATCGGTTAAAATCAGCAGCAACGTTTTCCGACCGGTTGCTCCCGACAATTCAAAGTTAAGAGGCAAGTGTAACGTAATCGTTCGTATTAACGGTATTACAAGTTTTTCCGGCTTCTTACCTAGATAAAGTATTTTTTTTTTAGAATCTTTTCCTTTAAAGGCACTGCAGGCTTTCGATCGGGCCGAAGTCGTGCGTATCCCCGAACGCCTTCGAAAATATTGTATAAAGTGTTGTAAAAATCTCTTCCCTCTATCCTAATCGAAAGCCCGCGATTTTTAAGGCACATCGAATTAACCCGTAATCGCTGCCACGAGTTCCCTCCCATTTACGTAAGATCTAATCCAATAAATAAACGAGACGATTCCTTTTGCATGGAAAACAAGTATGCAGGAGACTCTTAAAATAAGTCGACTGCTTCGATCAGCACTCGAGCTCAGCTACAAATGGAATTGCAAACCTGGCGGTGGAAAAATAGTCAGTGTTACCGGTTACAAGATCGTATGCTACGTACAGTAACGGCGATCGTAAATGTCGAGGATCTAAATAAAATACAGAAGCGCCGAAAGGTGCCCGATCGCCGGCGTAACAATTAGTCCCTAATCTAGAAAGACAATTCCCATACGTCGCAAAGAAAATGTAACCCACAACGAATATACTTCTCTCCGGGAATAAAATTCATCAGGGACATTTCACTAAAGTCCCGAGAGGAAAATAATTCAAGAGATCGCGTTTCACCGAAGCCCTCACTTTCCACCTTAAGCTACAATATTCTTCATTATTTTCCCCGAGACTCCAGTGAAATCTCCGTTAACAGATTCAACCGAGAACAAGCAGACGGAATGAAGAATTCGCGAGGACGCGCAGAGAATACCATCGTTTAAAGAAAAGATTATGTACCACCTTTAGTCCATCCCACCCTTCGCAGCCTATTACACGTAAAAGGGGGAAGAAAAAGAAAAAAAGAAACGTTGAGTTTGGTCCCAGCTTAACGGAATCGTTCAGGGTCAGTCAGCAGGTGTGACCTCGAATTTCCCGAGTGCACACCTTGCAATGCACTTGTTTGGAATAGATAAAAGATGACGCATGCCATTGAACAAAAAAAAAAAATAAAAATGTCAATTCGAGTCCTCAACTCGTTCTCCACGAAACAAAGGAGAGACCCCTTTCCGACACCTCTCGGTTGCGCCGATTATTTAAACAAAAGAAACAACTCCCGCAGGCCCGCGTGCCTGTTATAAATATATATCGCGGAAACGTGACGAGGTGTGGTTTTCGCGTCTCGCTAAAAAGAACGCCCGGCAAGGCCAGGGGAATAAAATTTCCCACCGAATACAATATAAGATGGACCTCAACGGTTGACAAGGTATTCTTTATACAGGAGAAGAGTCTACGCTGGACGGCGAACGAACCCCCGAATCTCGCGTTCCTATGTTGCATGCTGTATGCAAATATGCAGAAACCTGGAGTTTCCTATCGTGGACGCATCACGAGAGGCCAGACCGGAAACGCGATACATTTTGTCCCACCTAGCCCGCCGTCCGGAGTCAGGTCTCGTTACGATTGATATGTTGCCTTTGCTAGGATCGAGAAGAGCTGACACCGGGCATGCCGAATTCTAGATCTGCGCGGGCTCTACGTAATTCGCCGGCAGCATTCCGTGGCGGCCGGTGCGTTGTACGAGCCCGGTCATCCATCCCTCGTCGATTGCCGTACAATTGACAATGAGGTCTCCGTCGCAGAAGCTCACTTCGTCGAGGTCCTGCGCCTCATAGTCGTACATCGCTCGGTAAACCCGCTGGAATTAAATTAAATTAGATTCTATCGCGTTAAGGCAGATCGAGCGACAATGCGCCTTCACGGAAATAACGCGGCCGCGAGGAAGGAACAGATCTAATTGGCATTAGGGGCCTATGGGGGCCGAAATGAATCGGAGACCCCTCTTCGTGGATCCACGCCTCGATCGATAAGAAAAATATCATTAAAATCGTCCTCTACGATAATGCAAATAAAAAGAGTATCAAAATAATGCCCGCTGGAATTAAATTAAATTAGATTCTACCGCGTTAAGGCAGATCGAGCGACAAGAAAAATACCATTAAAATCGTCCTCTACGAAAATGCAAACGAGAAGGGTATCAAAATAATGCTGGATCAAAATAATGCCCGCTGGAATTAAATTAAATTAGATTCCATCGCGTTAAGGCAGATCGAGCGACAATGCGCCTTCACGGAAATAACGCGGCCACGAGGAAGGAACAGATATAATTGGCATTAGCGGCCTATGGGGGTTGAAATAAATCGGAGACCCCTCTTTGTGGTTCCACGCCTCGATCGAAAAGAAAAATATCATTAAAATCGTGCTCTACGATAATGCAAACGAGAAGGGTATGAAAATAATTGTAAACCCCCCTTCGTGGTTCCAGGTCTCGATCGATGATAAAGAAAGAGTAAATAAATCTGAAAAACTTTAGGACTCACTCCCGTGCTGGCAGGCGGTGGCGCCGGTGGTTGATGCTGAGGAACGTGGTTGTTATTCGTGGCAGGCGTCAAGGAGCCGTAGTACTCGTTGACAGGGTCAATGTCTGCCACCGATCCGATCTTTCGAGTGGGCGGATTCGTCACTGGAAAAAATAGAGTAAGAGGAGATCGATCGACGATCTCGACACACGTCCAGACTCCCGTCCCTTGCCATCGCAATCGGGAGCCGACGTGAGATCGAGTCAGCGTCCAAAGGATCGACATCGACGATCGATCCGAGAGGTTAATCAGGAAATCCTGGATCGGCTCGAAATCACGTGGAAATGGGAAATGGTTTGCGATCACCGAAACGTTGTCACGATTATGAATTTTCGAACGAATGGAGAGATCCACAGAGATTCCTGGTTCCTCCCGAGCGTATCCAGGATCTAGCGATCCCCGATGTCTGGATCCTTCGGATCCTGCGCGATGCATGCTCTTAAAGCGTATCGTCGAGAGCGGGATTCTCGCCACCCTCGTGCCCCTTACCTGCACCTTTGTCGCTCGTGTAAATTACCGTTGTAGCGGCTTGCCTGGCGGAATAAGGACTCGGCCTGGTCTCGCTAAGCGGATCGTAATCCGCGATCCTTCCCGGCGTCTTCTGTACCGGCGAGTTAGCCGTTCTCGGCGGTGGAGGGTTCGCGTTTACGCTGGCCGCCGGGGCGATCGTACCGTCCGTGTACTCTACGTACTCTAAGCAAGAAAGCACAAAAAGCTGCTGGTGACACGTTGCGACGAATGAGAATGAGACGAAGAGAACGGACAACGAGAACGTGGGAATGGTCGGTTAGTAATTTCAAGGACGAGGCGTCAAATGACTTCGTCTACCCCTGGAACCGCGACGGAGGGGAGCTCTCCCCTCGGCGCTTTTTGGACATCTCACAAGGTCTAAAAAAATGAACGAAAGCCATGAGAGAGAACATGACCCCAGGATGGATCCGTGACAAGGTGCGACTCGACCTGGCAGCCTTCCAGAACCGCAAGCTCGCAAAAAGGTCCGATCTAAATCTCGCTCCAGCTCTCTACAAAGAGGTCGACATTAATGCCGGCTCGATGGACCCTCACCGATCTGTTCGCCGTTCTCGCCGGTCATGGTCCTCTTCTGTTCCATGATGGCCTTCTTCTGCAGCTCCCCGTGATAGGCCACGTTCGAGATGATCTTGCTGTTCTGCTTGATCCTCAGGGTCTCCGGGTCGTCCGCCACCTGCGTGAACTTCCCTTTCGCCTTCTCGAACTCCGCGTGGTACTTCACGTTGCTCTGGATCTTCGTGTTCTCCGCGATTCTCTTAAGCTCCGGTGTCTCGGCCATCGTCGTAGCCTTGACTTTTGGTATGTGCCTAAAATGGCGAGAAAAAAATAATATGAGAAACAGCGACTCGAGTGACATTGAAAAATTGGGGAAAAAAGTGGATTTTCGCGGAAACAAGGGTTACCGACCGGAAACGCGCTCTTCGGGATCCCCTACCCCGGGGACGTCGTCCGATATGCACCGCACTCGCCGTGGGTGCCGACTTTACAGTGCGCAAGACGAACGCGCGACCAGGAATTTGCATAGTGATTAGCGCTGATACGCGCCTAGTTATTACCATTGTTCGCCCTATCGCCGTCCTCGCGGTGGGAACACGCGCCAAGAGACAGGACGGTAATTAACGTAGATCCTGACATTTTTTCAGGTCGCTGCGAAATCCGCATTCGTCTTAATTTCAAGGAGTCTCCTAGAAAGGCCTCAACTCCTACGAGATAACGTCGTTAACGAAGATGGAGTGATTTTTCTTTCTCCACCTTCGCGACCTCGCTATTTAAAGCGGGTGACGATGGTCGTCGGTTCTTTATCTCTCTTTTTCGTCCCGAGGAGTAAGGTCGAACGGGCATGTAATCGAGATGTGGGTCACGAGTTCGTTTTCCATGTACGGTAACCTTACGGTCTCTCTCACCGGAGGCATTGTACCGCGCAGAGGGGTTACGTAAACCTCGGCATGCCGATCGGCGCGGCCGAGCGGATTTCGCGCGCGGCTCGTTTCGAAATCCCCGGGTGAATTTAATCGGGCGATGCGCGTCGAAATAAAAAGATAAACGATCATCGAGACCGGATAGAAGGGGCGCGCGGACCCCGTGCGACCCGACCGCGCGCGCGCGGGGCACTGGCGACCTTGTCCCACAGCGCGCAGCGTCGAATCCCCCCGGAGTGCGCGCGCACCGCCCCGCGCCGAGGGTATATAAGGGCGGCGGGCCGACCCTTCGGCTCATTGCGCGCAGCGACGGAGGCGGGGTCGGTCGCGCGCCCTTCGCGGGTCTTCCGGCGACCCGCGAGGCGCGCGAAGCCTTACTCACCCGCATTCCTCTCGCTGGTTAAATTCCGCGCGCGGAACGCCCACGGCGCGTCGTCGATGGTATCGTCGGTCCCTTTCCTGGGCAACCTTTCACCGTGCACGGCGCTCTAACAGGAGATCCTCCGCGAGAGAAAATTCGAAAATCGCGTTAATAAATGTGCATATGCGTTAATATGCGTTCGTACGCGTTAATACGCCGATCCACGGCCTCGGCCGTGTATCGCGGCTCGTCACGAGCTAAAAGTATCGATTACGAGGCCCGCTGGAGAAACATCCGCCGACCAGTTTGTCACCGATGCGCTTCCGCGTTCCCGGGCCGGGCCGCGATGCCGGTGACGCAAGGGCGTCCGATCGCGGGTCGAGATAAAGAGAAACCGATGTCCACCATCGGCGACATTGAACCGTCAAACATCCAGGACGAGAGATCGTTATCCGACCGCCAGACGGCGTATCCGCGAGGGTACGAATCCGGCGGCGCGCTCGATTGGAGATAACGAGGCGACGAGGGGTCGCCGGGGTGTCGCGGGTCCCTTCACCGCGACGTCACGCCGGCGGAGCGCATTGACACGCCATGTCCCGGGTAGATCGGTTTTTACCGTGGCATTCCGCGAGCCGGAGAAACGGCCCGCCCCGAGTGCGTTTTCTCGATTAAAACCGCCTGCTTTTTGTCGCCCCGCCGACGACCGGGGTCCGTGGGGCCCGAGTGAAAGGGGGACAAAAATGCGGAACCGCGAGAATTTCCTGACCCTCTTATCGCCTTTCCCTTTCCCCTTGAACTCGCGCCTTCGGTCTTGAAGATCTCCCGTTAGAGGGTACCCGATAACGGGGCAGATCCGCGAATGTCCCCCCAAGAGGGCGGGAGGAGTGACTCACCGGTGGAGGTCCCTTTCGCGAGGTGTGACGTCACGCCGAAATTAGACGGCTGAATGAGTCCCACACGTGTTGCGCGGCCGGTCTGTGAGCGGTGCGACAAGGAACGCGACAGGAGGCGCGTCGCGCGTGCGAGAGAGAAAGCGAGAGTCGGCGACAATTGACGCCGGCCTCTCTGCGAACGGGACGTGGTCGGTCGAAAGAGAGAAAAAAGAGCCAAGAATAAATAAGTAAAATAGAGAAAAAAAAAACGTTCCCACCGTTCTTCGAGAATAATCACCAAAAATTATTTTCGAGACAATCTTCTGAATTTTTAGGTAGCGGGGTACAAGAAAAGAAAAAGAGAAAAAAAATTCCTGTCGGGAGGTCATCACGGAGGAACGCCAAGTCTCGAAACGCGCTCCTCCCTCGGCCCTCCGGCGTCAATTTTCGTCGACGGCCAGGAACCAACTACGACGTCGCGTTAATTCCATCTTGGCCGAGCGACGGGGTCGAGTCCACGTAAAAAATGGGTACTCACGCCTCGCAGTACGGCTGTTTGTTGAAGCCCTTGTAGGTCCGCATGTTCAGAGTCATCCCGCAGCCCTGGCACTTGAAGCACTGCTTGTGCCATATCTGTAAATGAAATAAAAAAGAAAAGAACATGAATCCCGAGTCTATTTTCCCGGGGAAAAGGGGGAAAGAAGGGGGCGAAGCGTCGAGGTCGGTCCCATTTTAGCTGCCGGCTTTGAGGGAGGTCGGGGTCCCTCCGGAGGCGCCTCCTCTAAGTCCTCCCTCGCGTTTAAGCACTATGTCCACGTTTGTCACAGAAATGAATGGCACTCTTTCTCGATCAAAGGATCGATAATTACTTTAGGATTATATTCATAATTATTCAGGATTTAATTACGACTCGTAGTTCCCCCTTATCGCGCCGAGTTCTCCCTAAGAGTCGGACTTTCCCATCGATAAGGCATCGCCGGGGAGCCCGACGCATCTCCCTAGGGAGAGATCGTCGAATTTGCGAAATCGGCTCGCTTCCTGCTATTGTTTCTCGCAACGAGTTGCCCAACGAGACCGAGCAACGCTTGCGTCAATCGGGGTCTCTTTCTTCCCCTGCGGTTTTCGAGGAGAAGACTTTTCCCCGGATGGAACCCCGCGGTCGAGACACCTTCGGCTCGAATTTATGGGCGTGGTGAATGCGCCCGAAAAGGAGGGTCGGGGAGGAATCTCGTCCTAAGGCCCCGAGGAATCCTGAAAAGTCCTCAAAAATCCCGGAAAATTTCTGCCGGGAAAATCCGGACGGAGTCGCCGCTTCCCATCGGCCTTCCCGTCCTATTGTCACCGAGGAGCCAAAGATCGACTCGCTCGAGATCTTCTGGCACGCGATTAGATATACGCCGAGCATCGGTCAGTAGGCTGCAACGAGCAATGACTCTCCGATGCGACCCGTCAACGATCCTTCCCTCCATGCCGCAGGAACGATTCGTCCGAAACTATGAAACCCGGACACCGATGGAATTTTTCATACTTTTCAATTTTTCATGTAGAAGAACGTTAAAAAAAGCTACAAGTTAGAAGACATATGTGCCCATAATTATGAAAGTGGTCTAAGTCAAAATTAAAAAAAAAAATGAGTTTATCAGTTATTTCACGCCATATTATTTCAAACGAAATTAATTCAATGTAATTTCGAAACAAAAAATATATGACTTAGACCACTTTCATAATTATGGGCACATATAAACCCCTGACATCGTGTATTTACCACAGCGAATTTCTTACCCGAATTAGATGTAACGTGGTAACGCTCTTTAATTTTATTTAGATCCCGAATGCGATATTACGGAGACAATGGAATTTTATCGCAACTTATCGCGGTAGCGAAATAATTAAAATCGACGGAATTTTTCATACCCTTCTGCACACCTCATAACTGACGTTTCACGTAGAGCGTTAAAAAATCTGCAAGTTAGAAGACATGTAAACCCCTGATATCGTGCATTTACCACAGCCAATTTCTTACCCGAATTAAATGCAACGCGGTAACGCTCTTTAATTTTATTTAGATCCCGAATGCGATATTACGGAGACAATGGAATTTAATCGCAGTTTATAGGAGCATCGAGATTAAAATCGAGGGTGCGGATTCACGTGGGCACTTTTATCAGCGAATACGTGCATATCAACTTTCGACGTTACGTCAGGTTATTGGAGCTTCTAGCGGTAAACCCGGTCGACGGGAGGTATAGTAAAAACGAGGGAACGGATCCGCCCCGCGGCGGAAATACCCGCCGGGGGTCTCCGTTACGCCGAGCAAGAAACGGGGCGCTCGAATTAAACGCGGCGCCGTTTCGCGGGAAGTGAAAGTCGGGAAGATGGGTACCTCCGAGGAGAGCCAGGAAGACCGATCCCGGGGGAAGATCGCTCCGCCGACGTCGCGGTTCCCGTTGGGATTTTCGCTCGTCCACCTTCGAGGATGGCGATTCGCCTCCACTCCACAGAACTCGAAGAGAGCCTCGACGGAAGCAACAGGTTGGAATCTCCGCGGCCCACCTGCCCATAACTGTACACCATACCCACGCGGCCGTTCTCCGCGCGCGGAATTTCCGTATGCAATCCCCCAATGGCACCGCGGAATCCGTCCGCGGCCACGTCCAAGGATCACTGGGTCACCTGGCTCGGCCGCGGAATTTCCTCCGCTTCGAAAAAAAATTCCGCAGACCTCCCCGGCGACGACCGCCGGCGGATTTCTCCGCATCCCTCCGAACCATCGCTCCAACGGCATCCCGGCGTCTATTCCGCGAGGGTCACCAGGAAAGACCGCCCACCGCGTGCCGGATTACAGGGGGAAATTTTCCAGGAGTCGCGGAAACCGTCGTTCCGGCCCGGATTTCTTCTCTCCCTTCTCTCGGACCGAAAAACCCTGAAAATTTGCCCAAGTCATTAACTACGAACAAATACTCTTCACCTCGAAGATACGATTTGCGTCAATTTCCCCTATCATATTCGCAATCAGCTGGTCAAAGTACATGGGTAATCGATTAATCGGCGTCTTGACATTTACTCCTGGAGGAATTTCATGAGACGTCTCCGCGAGCACGAGAGCGATTACCGGGCATACCACGGTACGACGTCGGGTTACCTCTCGAGTTAATTGTTTTACGGTGAATTAACTTCCATATTTATTATACGGCGGGCCTCCCGACGCATCCTCGAGGGTTGCGAGGGAATTTCCCTCGAAACTCGAGGCGGGGGCATAAAAAGGCGACACCGAGCAAAAGGAAAATCGCGAAGTGAGACGCGAGAGGGGGGTGTCACACGAGCGGGCTTTAATTGTCCTTTGTGAGTTTCGACCTCCTCCTCGCCACGCTGCTGACCGCGTAACGCTATACGTCTCGCCTTTGGCGCCTCCCCTGCCCTTTCCTGCTCGTCCTCTTTCGAGCCATTCACGAGGCGAGATGAAGTCGGCTCGGGGGCTCCGGGGAAAAGGGGGCACATAGAGTGCGTACACGCAACGACGTAACCGAGGCCGCGGCGGGAACGCGCGGGCCCGACATTAGCGGCCTCTAAAAAGCTCCCGAGGGTTAAATTGCCGAAAACGATAAGAGAGGAAATCAAACACCCGACGAGGATTTCCAACGCGAGGGCGGAACGGGAAACCCCGGTAACCCTGGGTCCTGGTCCCTCGAACGAGGTGGTGGACGCGATACCGATGCAATTCTCGGGGATGTTAATTTAAACCCGTGGGAATTTAATTTTCAATATAATTTTGCGGGTAAAGCGACGATTATGCGGTTACGTGTCCTAACCTCGCCGTTTAAGATCCCACTTCCTCGCGGGTGCTCTTTTTACCGAGACGCCGCACCCGGGGGTAACTCGTTCGCGTCAACGTCCCCGGTAAAGGGGAATTAATTTGCGGAAATACGCGAGCCGGGGAGGGAATAAATTACGCCGAGCGGAAACGCTCCCGCGAATCGAGCCGCCCGCGCGAGCTCGCTCCCGTGAATTTTTCCTAGCGCGAGCTCGCTCCCGGGAATTTTCTCGCGCGAGCTTCCTCGCTCCCCGTTAACTGCCCGTTAACTTCCCGCAATTCGAGCCGCTCGCAAATGAAATCGTCGGGACGACACCGAGGGCCTGTAAAGCGACTTGGCGCTGCCTCGCGAAAACGAGTCACCCGGATGGACTCTTGTATGTTGTCATCGAGGCGAGGCTTCGGGCCGCCCTTGCGGTTTAATTGCGCAAATCCTCTCCGAGGCCTCGAAATTGCGATCACCTCTAGGATTCACGGAAAGGCGGAAAAAATCTCGTAAGGAAAAAAAAAAGGAATAATTTTTATTCTTACCCCTAGGTCCTTCTCCATATATGGAGAGAGGATGCACGGAAAGGCGGAGAAAATCTCGTAAGGAAAAAAAAAAGAATGATTTTTATTCTTACCCCTAGGTCCTTCTCCATATATGGAGAGAGGATGCACGGAAAGGCGGAGAAAATCTCGTAAGGAAAAAAAAAAAGGAATAATTTTTATTCTTACCCCTAGGTCCTTCTCCATACATGGAGGATGCACCTCGATGACTTAATGGGACACTTAAAAGTCGTGACGAAAATATGTAGAGCGTTAATATGCTCTCTGGCACTCGCTGCATTAATAAAATGATACCGACATTGGCGAGGTAATCGATCTCGGGAATTATTGACAAGATAGAGGAGAGGTGCTTCCCCGGTGACCATTGATCATAAATATGGAAATAATGAATAGGGAAGCGAGGCGAGAAAAATGATCGGATGAGAGGGACTCACGTGGTTCCTGCTGACACGTGCAGGTTTAATGACGAGCCAATGATCCGACTTGACGACGCGGTGGCGTAAACGGATACCGGTCGGTGGTGAAAGAAATGGTTCACTCGCGTCCGTGACTGATTTCCGCAGGGGAGCACGCCTTTCCGACGCAGCGGATCGCGTCGACCTAACCTAACTCTTGGGCGCTGCCGGCGCGTAATTATTACCGGAGACAAAACGCGATGCAGCCTGGGGGATTCGGGATCTCGCTCGGAATGATCGCCGGAAGGATCGATCGCGACTTTCGGGTTATTATTTACGTCCTTTGCGAGGCGTTCGACGGGGCCGTTGACAATTTTGGAAGCTGGCCAACGCGCGCTTCTCGCCGACACGTGCAGGCTCGTCGATAAAGGAACAACGGTACTCCCGCCTCGCGAACGCTGGGTCGCGGCTCGTAAAGACGTACGTGGGCTAGGGAAGATGATTCCCGAGAGAGCGTCGAGGCATCGCCATTACGAGGGCGGCGTAAACGGGAACTGGCCGAGGAAGTGGTGCGCCGTGCTCGCGCGTCGGCCCCTGTGCCGGACGGCATTAACCTAACCTAAATACTCGCCCGCGGTGGGCGCACCGTCACTCGGGAGCGGCTTCGCCCTCCACTCGGCCGGGTCCAGCCGGGTCGCGGGAAAGCCTGGAAATGAATTCACTCCACGAACCTTGTCCAGACACTTGAGCTCCTCGATCGGGTAGACCGTTTTCTCACAGCGGGCGCACGTCTTACTCATCTTGGGTGTCCTCGCTTCGGGCGGCGTCGCGCTCAATTAGCACACCATTTAACGGACTCGCGACCGACGGCTGGCGAGGGGATCGCACACGGGAATTCCGGGACTCGGACACGGAAACTCGCGACGAACTCGAATGCTACCAGAAAAGCTGCAGAGCCGCCAGCCGCACTGCCATCCCGTCCTCGCCTCGCCTCTCGCCAGAAAAACTCGCCGAGTGACAGAGATGGTGGCCCACCCACCTAGTCAACTCAAGTATCAATTTCTAACCCGAAAGGAAATTTACCTTTGTTTATTGGGATTTCTTTCGAGAATATTTATTATCGAGGAATAGGATTTTCCGTGGTATTGTTTTTACGAAGATTTGGAAGGCTTCATGGTAATACGGTTTAAAGATTCACGTAGTACTTTGACTCGCTCCGTTAATAAGGTGATAGGGGTCGTCGGTAAAGAAGATGGCGGCGTTATGGTTGCGGGTTTAGTGGCATCAGGCGACGCTACTTCGAACCTTACCCAGAATTAAGAATCGACGTGTCTATAGAAAATGTATATATTTTGGTAGATTGACGACTAATGGAGCAGTCTGAAATAGAAATGGAGCGAATTCTTGCCCGTGTGCAATCTCCCAACTCATCTCTGTTCTTGCGTGGTTTTTATTTCGTGGTGGCCTGAAACAGCTGATCGCTAAAGCTGCTGTACAGTATGGTGTCCTGCAGCTAATTTTTATTGACGGTAATTATGTGTTTATAAATCATGTATGGTTTGTCAAAATTCTATGTTCCCAATCTAGGTATGTTTGTTCATTTCTTTCATATTTCAAATAATTTCTATCAGCCGTACTTGGATGAAACGTATATTTTCAAGTTGTGGAGGTTAAATTGTTTTAATTTTCGTTCAATTTTAAAATAATTCCAGATCATGTTGCATGAGTCTTCTTTCATTTATTGTACATTATTTAAGAAGACGAACTGAACAATTATAATGAATACTGCTGGTTGGGTGTCATGGGACTGAATACATGAATTATGTGTAATCCACTGGTATCTGCAATGGAGACTAAAGTAACGAGTAAAACTAGTAGTCTGAAGGCACTGTTACTTCGTGCCTGGCGGGAACGTTGGACCGATTTGCAGTGGGGGATCAACATAAAAACGGTATCGCTAAATTAAATGATAATATATTTCTACCAATTAATATTTTAAAAACACGAGATTTAATGTTTTATTACATTACAGATTTTACCCAGAGGAGTTAGCGGCGATGTATACAATCTGGCAGATTGTATTTTACAACAGGCTCTAGTCGGACCTGGACCAAATCAACTAGTACTATCCTATCTCAAACACTCGCTGAGCTCTCAGGTGTGTTTCCTCATAAAAGTAGATTTTACTTTATCAGTGATTAATACATACCATTCATCGATTCGTTAATTTTTATTTGCAGAAGTTTACGTTTAATTATTTTTATTATAGTTGGTGTCTTATGCCGCCGTATTACAACGAATAAGCAAGTACGACGCCTTTTATAAGCCTCATTGCATTGTAAGCCTCTTGGAATTTTTGGAAACGATTCAAGTTGGCATCACCTGCCGGGGTAAGCCCGAGGAGGATCTCCTAGCAGCGGCAGTCCTTTCCATAGTTCACTGGTTGCTGCAATGTTATCTTCATGCATTGACTAAAATGCCACAGAACAATCCATTGTTGCCGCAACCCACTGAACTCATTGATAAGCCTGCCAGTATACTAAAGCAAATGCTGAGCTCAAACTTTCTTTGTGCAATGATGTATCTAGCCAAACACGACGACAAGGGTTAGCACTTGATTTCTTTAATTGTAATTACAATTTTTTTTAATTTTGTAAATTACATTTTTTTTCTTATTCATAGATCTTCATGCAGAAGTGGCTAAGAAATGTCAAGAGATTGAAGCATTGCATAAGGCAAGCACTTTGAAAGCTTCCGTGTCAATAGAAGAATCCCTTAAAAAATTGTGCGATCTAGATATCGACAGTTTATCATTGAACAGGTCTACGATGGAAATGGAGTCTATTACTTACTGCCTTCAACCACTTCTCTCGGTTCAAGTGCTGACAAATCCCTGCATGGAAACGACTGCTTTTGTAAACCAGCTGCTAATGATACAACGACTAAAAAGCTACACAAATGCCAGATTATACTGTGAAATAATCAGAGCTTGTCTTGTATGCCTTCATGACGTTACTGGCACTTTTCATGAGTCACAATGGGGTGCCTTCACTTTCCTTAAGGTCCCTTTGATATTGAAAGAACTACACTCTTCTACTATTGGTAGTATGTATTTTTATTAGCATACATTTTATCAGAGCACATTTAGAAAAGAGGTTCAGCCATTTTTATGTTAAAAATTTGACTTTGAAATTAGTGGAAATCTGTGATTTTTTTTTTTCTAGGTGATGAAAAATTCGAGTATTCACAAGATATTTTAGATGCCTTTGAATTGCTACTTCAGTTTACACCACTTCTAGATATAATGGATACGACGTGTTCGTGCAACTGCGTAGAATGTTTGCTTAGTGAGTTGCAAAAATTTAAATTGGTCACAGAAAAGCAAGCACAGCAGTTAGCTAGTAGACGGTAAGGGAAATTTAACTGCTGTCATATTTCATTGTAATCGAAAAATTCTTTTTAATAGATCTGTTATCTCGATATTCCTCAGAGAGGGTGTCATGGCAGCGCTGCAGAAGTTAGAGTCTTCGAGGTCGCCAACATCGTCGATTCAAAAGGTGATTATCCGTGCGGAACCAACATTGGGCGGAATCTTGAAGACCCTCAATGCGGACTATACAAAAATCCAGGAAGCACTTTTGAGCATGTTGTGTCAAGTTCTTAATGGGAAAAGCTTTGAGCTGATGCTGGCAGTGGCCACTGTCGAAGGAAAGTTGAAGACTTTTGTGACGAAGCTAATAAAATTTAACGAATGCAGTAAGCAGATAAATGAGCCAGTTCCTGGCAAGACAGCTGCGACGAGGGCGATGCTCTTCGATGTTTCTTTCCTCATGCTCTGTTCAATAGTGCAGACCTACGGTTCTGACGTAAGTTATTTAAGAATTTACGCCACTTTTTCATTACGTAAAAAGTCAACTACGAACCTTTTCGAAACCTCTAAATTTTTTTTCTTCTAGGTTGTCCTGGAAGAAGGAGGAGACTCTTTTTTCGAGCAATGGGTGCGAGAATGCATGCCAGAGCGTGACAAGCCCAAATCGCCACAGAAAATGCTGCAGAACATAGATCCATCCAGAGTGGATGCCTTGTTGGCACAGATCAATTCTCCGGATCCTGACTTCAAGCCCAGTAATATAAAATGGCATTTGGCGTGCAGGTCTGCCATGGGTGCTGTCAAAGAATTACTTTGTGCCTGGGAAAGCGGAGCCCTTGGAGCAGGCGATGTCAAGAGAGCCCTCGATGGCCTACGATCTGCTGCTTGTTGTTTGCCAGTCTGTGCCGCAGCTTGGCTCTGTGCTCATATGAGCATAACTCATCAAGATGCTCTTCTTAAACCAATGAATATGGTACAACAATTCCTCACACCCTTCCCCAATGACGAGATGCAAGATAACTTTAAAGAAAGGTAAAATAGAGTATTGACTTTAATACAATTTATCTATCATAAAATAGTTGTGATTTATGCATTTATATATTTACACCGTACGTTTACTGTAGATCTGGTTTGATGTTCCAAATTATACGTAAGATGCAATACGACGTTCATCCACCTACGCAATCAAAAACGAAGGTGCTTTCTATGTCCCATAGGTAATATACTCGTAATCTCCATATTTCTGTCACTTGTTCATTTTAATAGGTTTTTGTATTCCACTGAATTGTTGTGTTTGCTTTTAGTATAATCTCAAGGCAACCGATATCTGAGCAATTGGAATCAGTGTGGCGTGATATTCACCAAAGAGGATGGATAAATGTCAAGGCAACGCAATCTTTAGAGTCATTATTTAATACTGGAGGTTCTTTATGGTTCGTATCGAATCTGGTGAAAGAAGCACTTAAGTATCGCTACCAGGAAGAGTTGGATCGGGCAGTCGATCTCACCTTTTCGATATTCCACCTGGACATCGAGAACTGTACTCTCGACCTGTTGAATCATGTTGTACCACAATATTTATATAATTCACTTCAGTGAGTAGAAATTAAATTATATCTTCTTTTTTTTTTACTCCTATTTTTATCACATAATGAGATTTTAAAAATTTTATGATTTTTAGAAGCGAAGAATTAGTTGAGCCACAGTCATCGGTCCTGGCTAAGTTGTGCGTCTCGTGCATATTCTCCACATTGGAATATAACAATTCTAATCCAAATCGAGGTAGTAACAGAAAGCGTGCCAGACGCGATTTGGATACCGAAGAATTGGATGCCCTGGGTGTTCCAGCGAATAAGATTTTGAGATTAAACGAGTCCGGGGATTCGAATCCGATATTCGGAACGAATTCTCCTCAGGCTCAGGGACCGATGAGCGGACAAAAATCTATTGTTCTTAGGGACCCCTTGATGTCGGCTCTCAATGGGCTTTTTACCACTTTCACATTTCTTGCTGGAAGGGATGGTGAAATCTCTCAGCAGACATATTTCATTCTTCAATTTCTCCGCCTCATGGTACAGTGCGGCAAAGACAGGACGCGGATCGTGCTTCAGGGAATGCCGCAAACATTGGTAATTTTCTAATTAAATTAATTTGAAACAGTCCGATAATTAATTTGGCTGAAAACTTGCTTCACGTTACGATTATACAGACAACGATTTTAACGCGTTCTCTTTTTTAACTTACAGGTGCCTTGTTTGCTAAAAGCTTTACCTGAATTATTTACAACTGACTTGTTATTAAGACTATACGATATTCAAACAGTAATGGGTCGGAAAGCCACTGCTCGTGACCTGTGTATGCTGCGCAACATTAATCTGAAATCAACAAAATGAGGATAAATAATTGGTGATGTGGAACTTATTATTCATGCACAACTTCCTTGCCAAGAGACTGTATAAAATGTTCCATTACCTTTTAACCTTTAAACTGTACCTCCAGTTGCGATCGGTTTTTTGACTGGATTTATTTTCTTTCTTACGATTATAAAATTCTCCAAGAAATGGACGTAAAGGACAAATTTAATCTCAATTAAATTCTACTCGCAGCAAGACCTTTAGTGTCGCGTTATTACCGATCTCGAGTTTTCAATGCAGAGATATATATGAGGTTCCAGCAAGATCCGCATAGGGGCAGCACGAGGTGGCAGGGACTTTTTAGGGGTTCTCTTGACTACGTTGATTATGTAGTCGCAGGTCATTGCTCTACGTGACCGTCTGCTTTTAACATGTTCCCAAATGGTCGGTGGAGGTCCAATCCGCTATTTTGCGAACTAACCTAAGAACGTCATTGGTTTTGACTCATCTTCCAAACACTCTCATTGTGCCTGGTTGTGCCGAATAGCAGTAGACCCGAACGCGTGTCCGTCACAAAGAGAAGTTACCGCACCCTTCGGAAAGAGTGAGAGAGCAACGCCCGCGACAAACGACCATGGTGAGTTTTTGACGTTTTCTGACGTGTCTGTCAAGAGCTCGATCTACCTGTACGCTTCGTCGATCCAGGTAAATGTTTGCCACGCGAACTAATTGCAACGTTTTGCAGGCATCTTACTCGGAGGACCAGCTGGCCGGTAAGTGGGACGTCTCGAGAAGCGTCACGGTTACTGGACGGAATTAAAGGGGGGCACGCATACGGACCTTTTTTCCTCTCTCGAGGCTTTAATTCAGGTCAAGAGTATCCTTGCCTTTTTGAGAGATACCTCACCTTGCTACCGCTATGGTGGGATCGCCATGTATGGAGCCAGATTTGAAAGTGAGCGTCCCAAGACGCTTACCTCGGAAACCTACATGATCTTTTTTCCCCCTCACTTAGCGCTGTCTGGAATTCTTTCCCTGCTCCAGTCTCGTACGTTCTACGGTGACATTTGGACTAAGTAACATCTGCTCGAAATTTGTTCGGAATTAAGTCCATGCTCGTTCGTTAAAGAGATTATTTTATCGCAGGCAGATTCTTCAGAGGCGGTGGACGAGACGTTAAGAATGTGTCTTATTAACGAGTGATTCATATTATTTTAGTAATGAGTAATTGTTTGTGCATTTAGTGTGATCGATAAAATTTGGAAACGATTAAAAGAGTATTAGGCGATTAAAGAACTGTTTCGAGTAGCTGTCACAATGTACATGTATAGCTATCAGGAGTTGGCAAACAGAATGATGTCATCCATGGATGGTAAAATTCTGTGATATATGACCTCTTTTCCATGTATAAGTAATAAGTATCTACTAACAGGAAACGTCTCATTTTTTCAATGACATGTGATAGTTTAATACATGTACAATGTCGTTACATCTAATACTGTTATTTTTAATAGAATTCCAAGAGGCATTCCAACTGTTCGACAGCAGAGGCGATGGTAAAATTCACATTGCTCAAATCGGAGACGCGTTGCGTGCCCTTGGGCAAAATCCGACTGAGTCGGACGTGAAGAAATTTACGCATCAGCATAAACCAGACGAGCGAATTAGTTTCGAAGTGTTCTTACCGATATATCAAGCCATCAGCAAATCCCGTACCTCCGATACGGCGGATGACTTTATCGAGGGTTTGCGTCACTTTGACAAGGATGGAAACGGCTTCATTTCTTCTGCCGAGTTGAGACACCTACTAACGACTCTAGGTAAACCATTGTAAATTTTATTCAGTGATCATAGAATGGTTAAAACAGATTTTTTCAACACCAAAATTTTTAAGGTGAAAAACTCAGCGACGAAGAAGTCGAGACTCTCCTAGCAGGCCATGAGGACTCTCAGGGTAACATCAATTACGAGGACTTCGTTCGTCAAGTGATGTGTGGTTAACGTGTCGACTTAACAAGCATTAACATTAATTCCTTTACTAGCTCGTTAATTCCCCAGAAATCTATTTATGAGTTGATTCCTTCGGTACTCGAATCGTCATCCCTGTCCCTGCTTAGTTCTCCAGTGGGCACGCTATGGTTGCATAAGAAAGAGAATATACTTTTTTATATTAACATTAAGGTATATCAAGTAGTTCTTCTCGGTCGGATATGATCCAGTATGTTGTGCCTTGACCTTTAACTATAAATTACCAGCGCCCTAGCATTACTAGCAAATGTAGGTATACGAAACAGCCGAATCTGTATGGGACATTCCAAATCCTTCGAATAGTTAATAGTCCGAAACTTTATTTTTCGATATACCCTCCCGCACTCTTGTACCGTTCTGGCCATGTATTCGAGTTTTCGCTAAAATACAATTTATTTGGGAGGATCACAATTTTTCTAAGCAATTATTCACCTTGGCACGTAAACGGTCGTTAATTGTAAGTCTCACGTGTAGAACGGTTCGAACGTGATAAAAAAAATGATAACTGGTGGGAATTTGAAAAAGTCGGAAACGTCTCCATACTGACTCGCAGCGCCGCGCGTGGGGGACATGCGTCGTGTCGGAGGGTCTGCTTTCCTATTGGTCGAGGCGACTCTGACGTCAGGTGTATAGTTGGCCAGGCGAGAGAAGAAACACGGAGCAGTGCTCCAGTAAGGTTTCGTTTCGAAACGAGTTCGGTTCGGATAACGTTGCGCCGTAGGCAGGGGGGAGAGGAGGAGTACCTAGAAGAACGAAGTCACCTCTCTTGTCTCGTACAGTTAATTTAAAGCCCTCAAGATTCAACGAAGGAGGAAGTATGAGTATTAGTTCTAGACTGTCGTTAAGTAATTGTGAAAGTAGTAAAAACGACGAAACAATGCCGAGCTTAATTTCCAGTAATTGGTAAGTCCGGATAAGGGGACACGGGTGCGCCATTTTTACCTTTCATGTTCGGACGCCATTTTGCAATACCTTGTTCTCACGACCGCACGACTGCCAGCAGTCGAAGTTTTTCAGCGTTTCTTTCCCACCGAGCCCGAAATAAACGGCACGGACTTTCTGGAAATTTCCGAGAGCTCGTCCCATCTGGGGGAATTTCCATTGGATGGCCTCGCCAGGCTCCAGGACGTTTTTCAATCCCCCTCCATCTAACCTTCCCGTGACCGATTTTCAATTTCCGAGAGACGTTTCTCGAAACGATCTCCTGATCTCGAGGTCAAATCGATCGAACGATAATTCATTGCGTGCCGATAAACTTGGGATAAGCGAATGATAGGGAAACGGCATTATTGGCATTTTTTTTTTTTTTTAAGGCTTGGAGCAACCAATAAGGACTGGATTCTTCTAGCAGTGGCGTGACAAGTGTCCACCTTTTTTTATTGAAAGAAATGTAGCCTAGCGGATTAAACTCGAACTAATTTATTTTCAGTTTTCTGTAGACGTTTTGTAGGATTTGCCTTGAAATCAATTTAACCTTCTAGAAGAAATTATACGCATTCGGTAGCTAATGTGGAAGAGCGTGCGCAAAAGAGCTGTTGGAAGCGATCAGTTTTCAATGCCATCAGCTGATTTGGAAAACCAAGTCTTCTCATTGATGTTCCACACCTCGTGACTCGGAATTGACCTGCAATTTGTCTCGTGAGCGATATTAAGAGCGTTTAAGAGATAAATGCTCGATCTTCCACGCAGGAGGTGTTGAGAGCGCTCTAGAAATTGTGATAAATGCTGGTTAATTCGCCTTGTTGACGTTGTAACCAAGAGGTACCCAAGGTCAAACTGTAAATAATTTGTAATGCGCCGTATCGATTGGCTTATTGATTCGACAAATCACTAGGGTAAATAGTTGCTTGTTACCATCTTGCGGGTGATTCAACAGGCTCTATCTTTTCATCTCGTTCCAGGAACGATTCGAGTAGTACTCGTAGATCCAAATTTAATTGCCGTGATTTACGTTAACGGTGTCTTCTCATCTCGCTAATTTATCGACTATGTACTTCCTATTAAGAGTCGATATGGAAATTCTTTCTTTGTTGGGAATTGTCTGTAATAAACACTTAGTAAACTAATAGAGCTCGAGTATATTAGTCATGGTCACGTGATTGCTTATCAGAGCACGATAAGCAGTTTGCAAAGTTATTCTTACACGCTATTTTGCTGGATGTGGAATGGAAGGGTCGGTGTCCGATGTAATTATTAAAATTCTTGTGACGCTCTCCGTCTTTATTCAGTCCTGTTATAATATTTTCATTTTACGTTTAGGAGACTGTGATTTTATCCTTGCTGCAAATTATCATTCTTCGATGAGGTTACAAATATTTATCGTCTTACTGAAATGCTTGTAAATTCTTTTAATTTCTGTAACAAGGCGTTATCATGACACGCCATTTCCTGCCGTGTCAGGCACCAACCGTAGATAACGACTTATCCTCTGAAAGATTTAACAGGATGGAATTTTACCACAGTTGACAGTTACTTATCATCGGCATGATCACTTCCGAGAAAGTATGGCAAGTGGATCGACTTCTCAGAGACCAATAATCAAACGGTATTAATTCCGGTTTCAATTTCTCTTGCATCTTACTTTCCAGCTCAACCTTATCGTCTCGATATTTAGAACAGCTGCGAGAGATTCTCTTAATAAAATTCTGGTAATAAAATCGATGCGCACATTGGAGAGTGAAAAATGGCATTACCAATCGGCGTTATCGCGTTTCGCGGTTATTAACATTCCGGCCTCGAGATAAATCCCCGAGTTTACTTAAACTACGTGAAAGCGAACTGATAACGGAATTGAACTTGCTAATTGATTTTCCTTCGATACGACGAAAAGATAGCGCGAGAACAACGCTATTCATAACCAAATTGACTCTTTTGGGCGCTCCTTTCTTATCGATGAAATTTCCAATTTTTTCCATTTTAAGAGACAATCAACTCGTGACGGGTTTGATTGCGCAACTGATTAGGCTGAATTAAAATCCCCGTACGTATTCCGGGGAACGATCATCGAATACCAAGTATAGTGACGCTCGAGGAAAAAAATTATTCCATAAATTATCTCACAATCAATACAAGTTACATATATATACACACACACGTATACGCAGATCCGCGAGATTTTGGTATTATCAATTTTTGACTCCCATTAATCTCTCTCTTTTTTTTAGAGTTATGAACTCAAGCTGTTTCCACACTCGAGAAGCATTTCTGCTCGGTAGCGCTTCGATAATTGGGATACCAGGAATCACCTGGCGGAGCTCGTTGATCGGTACTCGCAAAGAGTACGAAGTAAACAGATCTCTGGCCAAGGAAGAGGAGAGAGTCGTATTATTCGAAATGCAGCAGCTTGATTTGGCTTTGGGCCCGCTCGGATGACGTCCGCCGTATTCGTCGATGCTTTCCTATGCGCACTTGAAGTTTCTATAAATTGACAGTGCTCGCCTCGGCCTGCGGCAGTACGTCTTTATCAGCGTGATCGCTTAGGAATATACGTAGGAAGAGGAAAAAAGTAAATCGGGATTTTTCGAGCGGTCTTGACCTGATGTGATAACGCGAAGGGTCGTCGCGCCGCACGAGAAGAAAAACGTGCTAGAAGGGCGTTGACGATTCCTAGGAAGAGGAGCCTTGGCTCTTCGGATTTTCTGCCATCGCGGGCTTCCACGTTCTCGATATTAAAACGCGGAAATGGCTCCGAGACCGAGGTAACTCCCTTGTTTCTGGAAAGCGTCCTTCTACCCTTCGCACCTGACGTGCACCTGCGGAAAGGCGAGAGCTCGCACGTCCCGATAAGATTTCCGTATCATTTAATTCCCTAATACCTTGTAAAGCGATTCGATAACGCTTCACTTGCTCACCCGATAACGACACCCCTTCGAGACGGTGTGGAATGTTATTTGTCACCCGATCGCTACTTATCGCAGATAGTCGTTATCACCGTTCGGCTCGGCTGAGAGCTCATACAAAAAAATAATTTTCCCTCGATCGCGCAATTACCCAGCCTTCATTGAATTTTCTTTGACCCCCCTCTGCGTCGATTAGCGACTATGCTTAATTAATTCCGCGAACGGTCCGGGCTGAGCGGAATTTCTGCGGGTGACTTTTTCTATTGCGCGCCAAGTGCGCGTACTTTTCCGCCGGGGGACAATTACGCTAAAAATAGGTGCGCGACGTGATGTGTCGAGACTTTATGTAAGAGGCTTTCCCTGGTGGGAATTTTGGCAGCGCGTGAGATCGGTCTCGGATGGAAATCTCGGGGGAAAGTCGCAAGACGCGGGTACGCCGTTCCTCGATAGGAAGGAGCTAGTTCCTATTTAGAGAAAATTCCTAGTCCTTGGAAAAATTGACTTTGGTCTACTTTGAGATATATCTCGCAGATGTTCGAATGTCCCCCCTAATTCTCCATCCTGGAAGGTATTGCAAAATGCCGCGAAAGGTGGCGGCGAGGTCGGACGTCGACTGGAATATTACAGTAGCCATGATTTCAGCGAGACGAGCAAGTGCATGGAGGAGGGTTTGGAAGAAGGTTTCGGGCAGCAGCAGCACTACTGCATAACGCTGGGCGTGGGGCCTCTGTGGTGGTCCTGATGTGCCCCATGCCGCATTGTCTGTATCCACAGTCAACACAGAGAGCCGCGGCGTGGGGATCAAGCAGAGTCAGCTCTCTGTGAGCTCCCGCATTGTGCAAGTAGGTACTCCGACTAGAAAGAGGAGGTGGAGGCGCATCAATTTATAACCGTTTAAGGTGAAGTGAAACATCCTTCAAATCAGTCAATTCGAATACAACTCTTTTTTTTTAAGGGTATTAGACCAAACTGTCCGAAACTTTGACACGTCACTCCTAATCATCTAAGAATTGTCCTGACACATTGAAAATTTGGATTTTTCAAACAATTTTTTTAACTCAGTCCAGACCAGAACCAAAATGGCGTTGAGCTCTCATATTTCGATCGGCTCTGATGTGAGAATCGAAAGGATCAGGACAATTTTACGACAATTTAGAACACTCTGGTAATCGATAAACTCGCATTTGACCGGGATAAAGGCAAAAAAGTGTTGTATGCGCTTCTATGCTAAAAGGATGGCAATACGGGGTCTCGGAGGGAAAATTTAATTGACCTGGAAATCACAGATGTCGCAGGGGGTCCCTTCGCAGTCAATTAGGGCCCCGGAAGGCATGAATCCAGAGGATTTCTGGAGTTTCACTTCGATTTCTTTATAATTATTGTACGAAAACGACAGGTGGAATATGCCATTTGGTACAATACCCAATATAATTCGACCCACCTGTCGATATAAAAACGAACGTCGGCAACGTAGGCAGTTAGAAAAATCTTCTTTATCGACGTTGATCAAGTTCCTCGGCGTGTTTCACTTTACCTTAACCGGGACCTTCCAGGAGGATGACTTGTTGAAAGCCGTCAAAGACAACGAATCGCTGCGCCTGACGTTCTCCCTCCACCTGACGGAGAGCACCTCCGTCGAATGGGAGACCGTCGTATGGCGAGGCTGCCTCTATATCAGGGTACCGAGCTGCCTCCTGCCGGAGGGATCCAAGGAGGGATTCGTCTCTCTCCTGGAGTACGCCGAGGAGGTGCTGCACTGCACCAACATCGTCGTGTGCCTCCGCAAGGAGCGCACCGATAGAGGTGATTATGGTTCCCTTGACACTGTCGGCGCGCCTTTTCAGAACGAGTCTTTGTAACCGGGTTCTCACTTTTTTAGCCATGCTGGTGCGCACCTTCATGTTCTTGGGCTTCTCGGTCCTTCCACCGACCCATGCCCTGGTCCCGCCCGGCAGCGACGCCGGCAACCTCTACATGCTCTACGCCATCGAGTAGTCCACCTACGATTCGTTTCTCTTAAGTTTGACGCAGCGACGCGCACCTTGTACACCCGGTCGAACTCTAGGAGCTCTACCCTCTCGGGAAACGAGGAAGTCGGAGCTTCGATCGGGTCTCGATCGGTTTTAGAATCACTTTATTTCGCTGTGCGTGCCATTGTGCTGCGGTCCCCCTCGTGTCCCTCGGGAACCGCTAAACAGCGATCTTTTCTTTATACTTCAAACCCTTACCTCAAAATTCTACTCCTGGGTTTCTTCCGCCCGTTCGATCAATGGGGGATGTTATTCTAATTGCGGGTTTATTTGTTAGTCGCTGCGTAAAGCTGGAGGGAACGTTTAAACGGTTTCCGGATCGCGAACGGAAACGATAGTCAGGTTCGTAGAACTCCGTACGTAACGAAGGCTTTCAACAAATCAAATGGGACATCCTCTTGAATATGTCATTCTGAGACTAACAAGATCGAGTTTGAAGACGCGCTCGCTATGATTCTCGCGTTATCGTGGAAGGTAAAGGAATTTATTATCGACAAAGCTCGGTGTTAATTGTGGCAGGTTGGGTATTACCGTGGTCGTAAGTCGTGTTAATCGCATGGTGATATGTGTAGGTACTCTTTACTTAATGTTAGTTATTAACGACAGTTGGCACGATCGTTTACACCTTTGAGGAGTCGGTACTTGGTATTTCTCCGAGACTTTGTACAATTATTCGCAGCCCCAGCCGCTTTCTGCTGTGTCTATTTTTTTTTTTTTTCCTTTGTCTTATGTGCACGGATTTGTCACGTTAGATTAACGATATATCCTGATTATCATTCCGAAGTGTGGATTTCGATTAAGCCTTTTCGAGCCTTTACACGAGTCGCGTTGTAAAATAGAAAAAAAAAAACCTCGCAAAACGGCGACCATTTAATATCACGTTATGAAAATTCATGGCCGATTCGTAAATTTTTTTTTTTTGCTTCAAATCGCGGTATGATACACCTTCACGTGGACTGCGGTGATAAGTGAATTAATTTCCTACGAAATTAACATTTTTCTTAGCATTGTACGAAGATCTCGTTAAATGCGGTATTATTTCCATTTTTATTTTATTTTTTTTTTAATGAAAATGCAAGCTTGACGTCATAACGTCCGAAACGGTAGAAATTGTAACTCGTGGCACAGTATTCCCGGGATTAACATCTTTTTGTACAATTTCCATTTAACCCTAGGTACTTTATCGGGGTCCGTCGATACTGTCGTTGTTATTACTTATCCTTGTTAATATTACCATAATTTTTTCCTTATTACTTTACGAATATACGTATAATTATAAATAACATTGTCGTCAGGGTGTAGCCTAAGTATGGATTTTAGTTGTCCCTTTGGTTATATTTCTAGAGTTAGGTGTTAAGATTATTAATGGTAATTCCCAATCGATTAACATTGAAGAGTTCTTGCTAATAAATGCGTTCTTTAGGGTTGACTTGGTAACAGACGCCATGGGGATATGTAATGAAAAAGTCACGAAAAAAACGTAAAACTAAACAATGGAAAATACAAAAAAAAAATGATGAGATGCAGTAGTCCGTTAGGTGTATAAGTAGTAGTAAGCGAAGTGGACCCATCGCACTTTCAGTTTATGCGATCGATGTTCTATTTTGTCCTGACATTTATTCATCGTGTATGATATAAATGAAAGAAAGCAGGTGGTATTCGGTACACATTGGCCGAACTCTTAAATCGAGTGAACGGCGAATTTTTCTTTATGTCTCGGTCCGTGGTTTTTAGTATTATACGAAATACACATACACACACACTTACATGGAAGATCCTACTGTATGCTACATTTATTATTCGTACATGAAGGCGTAATTGCTAAATAATAAAGAAAAAAAAAAAAAGTTCACTATACCATATCTTTTCACGTTACGTTAAGATAACATTTCTAGGGAGTTGGGAGTGCGTCATGAAATTAAAAGCGGTTGTTCGTACACTTTTATTAATGATTTAAATCTCAGGTCGAGGTCATTATTGAATGACAAGCAGTCCCTGTTTTCGCGGATCACTAACTGAAATTTGCATACGTTTCAAAGTACTGCATGTACGTGACCGTAACGTCGTACAGGTACTCGAACTGCTCCTGTGAGAGAAGAGAAAAAGTGGCATCAATTTTTCCCGATAATTTCCACACGATCATTGGTGCGATTCCATTTTTATATCATTGTTTACGCATCGTCATTTATCCGCGTGTAATTATTTACTGTATAATTTACCAAGGGTTGCACAAACTCCGGTCTTGATCTGCGAACCGCCCTAATCGCCAGACAAACGTCGCACTCCCTCTCGACCGTCATCCTCTCCAGGAGGAAACTCATCGCCAGGAAAAGTCCACATCCCGTGATACCGTCGCTAGAATGTAATTATAATTTTATGTGAAATAGATAAGGCACCCTGATCAAAGGTGGATGTACTCTTCCGAGGGCTCGTCCTTACTGGCACAGGGTGACCATCGGTCCATCTCCCCTGGGGATCCTCTCCGTTGCCTGCCACAAGGACACCAACGTTATGGGTGGTGGTGGTTCCTGGTTCCTTCCCGGTTTCCACCCCTTGGTGGAGAGTATCGTGATCGGCTGATTCCGAAGGGGCTTCTATGAAATGTGAATATGTAAGTACAGCGACAGGTAAACCCATGATTAAGGACGCACCTGCGAGTGGTCGGTGAGCGATAGCTTAACGGAAGTGTAATGTTCCGTGTCCACCGATTCCTTCGTCGTGACGGTCAGGAATGGGGTCGGCTTGAATTCCCCAGTTTCCGCTGCGATCTCGCAGCAGGTCTGGAAGGATGTTTTTTCTCCAGGACGTTCTCGAAGACGCTTCTTTTCTGACTTACCGGGTCTCGTGGGTCGGGAGGTTGAAGCATCACTATCAGTTCTACTTTCAGCTCTGCTATCATTCTCCAGAAGTCGGCGAGGGTCGACGGCAAGGGGAGCTGGGATGCGAAATATTGGCTCTGAGATCTCACCCCGTCGACGTAGACCCCTGAGATGTAGTCGCTCTCGAGGTCGCTCGGCGGGTACCTCTTCAGGTAAACTCGGTTCAGTCTCTCTGGAGACAAATTCAGGAATTATGAACGGGCACGTGATACGTGAATTTTAAGACGAATTTCAATAGGAGGAATATTCGAACCAGAAGCTAACTCGGGGTATCTGTTTTTAGACCTGTTGTCGTCGGACAAGGCCTTCATCAAGGTGGACGGCTGCAGAGCTTCGTCCTGCCAGGAAGTGTCTTGAAGCCTGCGGAAGAAAAAATGTATATACAGAGGTGCATCTTTCTTTTGGACACTACCAGAAATTTGGAGCAAGGTACTTTTTGTTCACCTCTGACGTTGGATCGGCAGCTGCTGCTTCAGCTCCTTGATCCTGGTCAGCAAGGTTCCATTACACGGTAATGTGGTTGGCAAGGACAAGAGACACTCCATCAGAGCCAGGTGGGCGAGCAAATACTGCTGCTTGTTGTCCACCATGTTCGCTCTTTGACTCCTTAACGCTTCCGTTTCAGCGAGGACGTCCACGACCTGGAAGAAGAGGTCCTCGAACCTGAAGGTGACTCCGTAAGACATTTCGGAGTTTAGACTTTTGTATATCTTTTATTTTTCCTTTTCTTTTAGGTGGCGTCGATCTCACCCCTTCGGCAGCTGCACGGCGGAGGCAAATGTCGCAGAGGATGATGGTCCCGGTTCTGCCGACCCCGGCACTGCAATGGACCACCACTGGTCCCTTTCCCGAAGGAGTCGCCAGGAGCTTCTTCAAGTACGCTACCACCGAATGCGTGTACATCGGGACCCCATGATCAGGCCATGCGGTGTAATGCAGGTGCTCGATCTGCAAAAATTGAGGAGGTTCCAGGTCCCGGGATTAAATGAAGAATTATTCGCAGGATTAAATTACGGATTAAATTAAGAACAAAAGCGCACCTTCCGGGTCTCCGCTCCGCAGGAGACGTGGAACAACCTGAAGGTGTAGTCGGCGAAGACGTTGTGGCGGGCGTTGAAGACGGTCACCTCGCCGTATTTTTTTTTCCTTCCGACGTCGGGCCAGTATTGCTCGCATTTCGTCTTCCCGCTCTCTATGACGTTCGCCAATATGCAGATTATCAGGACCTCCTCTTGCCAGATCATCCTCCAGAAGTCCAGCACCGTGTTGGGCTTCGGCCCCTGTGTGGCGATGTAAGCCTTCTCCTTTCTGAACCCCTTTTGAGATGGAAGGTGGATTAATTTAAAAAGTTTAATTTTAAGGAAAATTGTAGAAACTCATCCGCTGCGGTACCCTTATGTAGTTGGCGTTAATGTAGTCGGAGTAGGGGTCGTCGGGGAGCTTCTTCAGGATGACCCGCGTCTCGTCGTCTGCAAATATTGAAGAAAAAAAAATTGTTAAGACTCCTAGTGGTTGTCCTTTCAATTTCGTATGTTCTTTCCTTTCTCCCGAAGTGGAAGAGCTACTGGAAGAGAGGGCAGAAGTCCCTTACAAGCGATTAAATTCCCATATCTGTTCTTCGACTTGTTCTCCGGCAATTTCCCATAGTCCCATGGCTTCGTTTGACCTCTAGGGAAGATCTGAAAAATTTATGAGGAACAGCGTCAAAATACGGAGTCCAGGTAAGACCTGGCTGTACTACTTCAAAGTAGACCAGTCCAACTCACCGAGTACTGTTCGTCCAGCGCCTCGCTTTCTATAGCATTTTTCACGTAGTCCTCGAAATCCTTGACTTTAACCAGCGAGGATGGCTCCGTTTCCTTCAATGTCTCCTTTGAATTTTCAGGGATCTCCGACGTGCTGGATGCGAAGGACTCGCTATCCTCTGGACTAGGACTACGCGAGAGCTTTCGAGACTCTACAGGACTTGGCGAAGGATTTTTCATTTCTGCACAGCTCTTGACAGGACTTTCCGCAGTCCCCGTCAGTTCCGTGTCCTTCTCTGGTTTAGGTCTCCTGGAAGGAAGAAGCGCCCTGAAGAACCCACGCGATGGTCCTCCTGAGAGAAAATACCTGCGATAGAAGTAGAAGACGGTCCCTGAAATCGCCAACACCAGGAAGGAGACCAACGGAATGGCCCACGCTTCGGGTCGACTGGGCACCTGGCCGATCCTCAGCAAGGAAGTCCTCGTCACGATGGTCCTTCCTCTGCCAGTCTCCGGATTCTCCTGCACCACTACTGCAACCTCGTAGGACTCTTCAGGGTGCAGGATGCAATTGGTAGCCCCTCCGTAGATCTTGTTGTCCCCTAGGATAAATTCCCGGCCCACGAATTCCTCCGTCTGGAAGGAAAGATTTATTTATCTCGACGTCACCCTGAAGAAGACCTAGAAAAGGATTGATCTTCACCGAGAAGGTCGCCGCTCTCCAGGCGACCTCGTAGTACTCCACGTTCGCCTTCGCGGCGAGGTTTGCCTCCACCTTGGAGAACTGTTCGCAGGGTCTGGGTCCTTTGACGATCACGTGCATGATGCTACCCCTGGTGTCGTTGACGACCTCTGGAATAAGTATGGAGACGGTGGAGTCCATGTCTCGGATCTCTGTCTTCAGGTCCTGGGAGAACCTCAACGACGTCGGCGTCTCCAGGTCGACTTCTGCAGGAGCGCCGCGCAGGTTCCCGAGGGTGACTCCCCGGACGTCGATCCTGAAGACGGAGGAGGGCAACAGGTTCAACTCCTTCGAGTACTTGGACTCGTACTTCTGGACCAGGTGTTCCTCGATCCTGGTCACTCTCCAATGGGTCGGATCCTGGCGCAGCCTCGTCGACTTCATCAGGATCTCGATGGCGAACTTTTTGATCCTGCCGCCGGTTCTCCAAGGATGCGTCCAGGTGAGGTTGACTCTTCCTTTATCCATGGCTTCCCCGACGATCTTTCCAGGAGCGTCGGGCTCTGCAAAGACGCACTTCCGATTAGAACTCGTGCAAATGTCTTCTTCACAGGTATTAATCCGTACTCATCACCTGTTTCACTCTGTCTGTTAGGAATCGTCGAAGGTGCTCCAAGCTCCGACACGTTTCTGTTGCCGGCCCTCACCTGGGAAACGTCAAGTGATCACTTTGAATCGGATTTCAACCTGCGTCAACTCCTTACCTCCACCTGCGGATACACCGCGAATGGTATCAAGACCTTAGCGCAGAAATAATCCGGCCAGAATTCGCAAATTTCGTTTACGTGGACCGTTTTCGCCCTGAATGACGATTTTTCAGTTAGAAACGTCACGGCATATTCGACTATTTCCCCGTTCGTCGGTGGAGACGGTTTTTGCCACCTCAGGTGTATCGCCGCCTCCTGGATGTCCACCTCGAAGATTTCCAGGTTCCTCACGGCGGGAGGAGCTACGGGTAAAATCACGTTATTAAAAATGAAGCGACTGGTAGAATCAAGTAGAATCTAGTAGAAAGCTCGAACCTTTCGGCCTGGTCACGAAGATCAGATCCTGGTAGACCGATTCGTTGTACTTCCCATGGTACCTCCTAATTATGTACGCTCGCACTCTGTACCTCTGGGCGCCGTAAATCGTCGGCGGGAACTTGCTCAAAGACAAAAACCACATCCCGGTCTGCCTGATTCCTTGATAATTCTGCACCTCCTGATCTACCCCTTCGAGGAGCAATTTAACAACCGCAATCGGCCCGGAAATTGTCGAGCAGTCCACTGGATAGTCCCACTTCAGGTTTTCCTCTTCCACTCGCAGATTGCCGACGACCGAGGTCGCGATTTCTGGACAGATTTCGCAGTCGCAGAAGCGTTATATTTTTTATTACATATACTCACCCCCTAGTGGGGAATAAAATGGAGGTGTTTACCGGTGGGATCGGTAGAGAACCTTAAATTCTCCGGTGGACCGCACTTAGAGGTGCAAGCCATGACCGACACCTCGTATTCCGCGTAAGGATGCAAGTTCGTCAGGGTGATGGAATTCGTGGTCGTCGTCAGGGTTTTCTGCTCCTGCCTGGGACTCGGCCGACCCGCGTCCTGGCAGCCTTTTAAATTAAGGTTCTAAAAATCAACGATATTCTGTTTTAGGTCATACAGGCGCCATCTTGGAAATCGTGTCTTTGGTACCAGGGTAGCTGGTCTTACCCAAAGAAATACTTTGTACTTGGTGAAGTGTCCTCTTATCGTTGCCGGACTGTTCCATCCCAGACGAACTCGATCGGGAACCAGCGAGGTCACTTGGAGAGTCCTCACTGGAGTGGGTGCTAAGAATGTCCAAAGAAATGTCTGAATCCTCGCCGAAGCGTCTCTTCGCTCTCGGAGCTTCCTGGAAGAGCACCTACCTCCTTCGTTGGTTCTCACTTCTTTGGAGAACACCACCAGGTCCTCGTTACCAACCAATACCCTGTAGAAGGTGAACGCGGTCAGATTCGTCATGGTGAATAGGAAATTTTCGATGGGCCCCGTGTACCTAACGACTTTTGCCTCAACGTCTTCAAGGGTCACTCTGTACCAGTCCACCGGACAAGGGTAACGTTCCTGGAGAACCGGGGATCGCTTAAGTTATTTTATTTCCTTCAAGAACGTCATCGCCTTCGTAACAGATTTTTATGCCGTTTCTTCTGTGTATTGCAGATGTACTCACGGCCTTCCGGATAGTTACGCTCAGGCTCGTCTCTTCAGGAACCACCTCGACGCTGGTCCCGGCTGGAAGGGTGAAACGTCAAGGGTGTCTTGGGTGTAAGCGAACCACTAGACAGCGGGAATCTTTTTGCACTGTTTAAGGTGAAGTGAAACACGACGAGGAACTTGATCAACGTCGATAAAGAAGATTTTTCTAAATGCCTACGATGCCGACGTTCGTTTTTATATCGACAGCTGTGTCGAATTACATTGAATATTGTACCAAATGGCATACTACACCTGTCGTTTTCGTATAATAAATATCAAGAAATCGAAGTAAAACTCCAGAAATCCTCTGGATTCAAGCTTTCTGGGGCCCTAATTGACTGCAGAGGGACCCCCTGCGCCATCTGTGATTTCCAGGTCAATTAAATTTTCACTCCGAGACCCCGTATTACCATCGTTTTAGCATAGAAGCGCATACAACACTTTTTTTGCTCTTATCCCGTTCAAATGCGAGTTCATCGATTACCAGAGTGTTCTAAATTCTCGTAAAATTGTCCTGACCCTTTCGATTCTCATATCAGAGCTTTCGATAATTGGATGATCGAAATATGAGAGCTCGACGCCATTTTGGTTCCGGTCTGGGCTGAGTTAAAAAATGTTGTTAAAAAATCCAAATTTTGAATGTGTCAGGACAATTCTTAGATGATCAGGAGCGACGTGTCGAAGTTTCGGACAGTTTGGTCTTTTACCCTTAAAAAAAAGTGTTGTATTCGAATCGACTGATTTGAAGGGTGTTTCACTTCACCTTAAGAATGATACTTACGAGAGCAATCGGTAGTGACCGTGGTCACATGTCCTGCGATAGTTACATCGTTCACCCAGATCTCTGCCTGTACCGTGTATCGCTTTCCCGGCATCAGGTTGTCGACGATGGCTTCCAGGGTCGTTGAGTTTCGGTAGACGATGTCCTTCTGGTCGACCGTATGCGTAGCGTTAGCGTATCTCTCCTGTAGAGATTTAACCGTATAAGAAGATGCCTGTATTGCATTGCTCGCCCCAATGTTAACGCGCTTTTAGATAACCTTAACGTAGATTAGGAGATGGGATGGCATGAGTCCGTAGCTCTCCTGGAGGTCGAGATGCAACTTCACGTGCGTCTGGTTCTTGAAGAGGAAAAGAGGAGCCGATGGTGGGTCGATTCCTGAAAACCGAGACCCTGAAGTCGAGGCAAAATGGGATAAATCATCCAAGGTGAGTACCTATCATGCAGTAGGGAGGCACGAAGTAGGTGGAGGTGGTCCTGTCGCATCCTTGGGTACAGATGCCGGTGCCGGGGTGACAATTGGAGTGTGCGCACCTTCCGCAAGCGTTCGAGCAACCGAATCCAAAAGTAACCCGCGAACAGGCTGAAGAAGCGATGTTAACCAATTAAGAGGGTGGAATTTATGAGAGACGTCGAGAACTTACACCACGAGCAGTCCGGGCCATGGTACCCTTGGGGACACTGACAGCCGTTCTCGTAGCAAATGGCACCCTGGGAGCATCTCCAGTTACCGATGTCATCGCAGGAAGCGGCACAAAATGGACCAACTCTTCCTTCTGAACACAGCGGTTCGTCTACGGGCAAGTACCCCTTTAAAACTACCTTCTGACGTATTTTATACCTCATCTTACTTAGTCCTAGGTTGTTGACCGACTTCAGGGCGGTCTGTACGACCGAGTTCTGCCGGTAGAAGATCCTCTGGCAGGTGACGTTGGGCCAGAAGTAGTCGTCGGAGTAGTCCTCCGAGGTGGTCATCACCGACGACCTCGTGCTTTCTGGAAGAGAACGAGCTCATACGAGGTAAGGACCACGAAGAGGGTCAAAGCGTCGACCTTACCCTGGGGATAGCAGGAGTGGACGTGCGCCACGGCCCAGAAGGGGTTGGCGGCGCTTTCTTCGAGACGACTCGTTAATCGCAGGCGAACCTTGCTTCCCGAGATCGACGCATTCACCAGGACGTGCTGCCACATCGGCAAACCGTGATCACTTGTGACCGTCGCGCCCCGGATCGTTGGCAGCTCCAGGTCGTCCTTGTACTCGTTCGTCAGGGCCATGTGCAGTAAGCAGGTCGGGCAAAGCGCGACCATCATCTCCATGCAGACGTTAGGGCCGACTTCCGGGGGACTCGTCAACACCTCGTTTTCACGGGTGGTGTGCAGGTACTTGTCTAAAACGGCCACCTCTTCAGCATTCGCCATTCGACACCTGCTTCAGGGTACTCACAGAGGTGAATCCTCATGCGCACTGGCAGGGGACTCCTCACGAAGAAGTAGTACCCATCGGTGACGTTCCTTACGGTCTTCTTCCCCCTCGGGAATGACAGGAGGATCGCCCCGGTGTCGTCGTACAATGCGATCTCCTTGCCCTCCTGGACCATCCGGTTGTCGCTCGTCCACTTCAGGGTGTAGGTTCTCCACTCTGCTGCGCCGAGTGCCTCGTACTGGGGATTTAGTCAATTTTATTCATTTTAATTATACGTTTTTTACAATACAAATTTTATACGTTTTAAAGCTTCTGTCCATATCATTTTTCTATCCGCGATAATAGCAATACCTTCGCAATTGTGGTGGAGTTATTGCATTCGGAATTGAGGTCGGGGTAGACCGAAGGTGGAGGCACTCCTTCCGGGCACCTTCGAAGCGCCAAGGTGGTGTTGTTCCATCCTCCTAGGATGATCCAGTAGCAAAAGTCCCGCTCGTATAGAGTCGTCTCGCAGAGGAGCAAGTGCAGGTCCCTGATGCCTCGCACGGAAAAGCTCAGCGAACCCATGCTCTTCACTGTCTCGACTACCTGGTACTGGTCCAGGTTTTCCTGGTTGTCCACCTCTTTGAAATCTGCGGAAGGTCGCCGGACACGATTATTCCGTCTCGTGAAATTTTCTCCCGGTTTCGTTACCTTCCCATCGCCTGTCCAGGACTGGTCCGGTAGGAAGCTCCAGAGAATTCGCCATTTCCCACGTCGAATCCGTCGTCCAGCTTGCGAAGCAGGTGGAGAACTCGTTGAACGCGCAGGTCATGTTTCCTGCCGGAGTCTCGCGAGAGCTCCTGAAGTCTGAAAATTTCTTTCCGAGTCACCTCGAAATTCCCCGGGGATTCGACTTAAGAGGCATACCTGTAATTATTGTCTCGTCCTTCATGTAGGATGGGTAACTCCACCTGAGGTTCGTGTTCCACACCAACGCACTGTCGTCGTTTTCAGAAATGCATTGGAGGCGTCTTGTCCTGTGCGCTTCCAAAAAGCCAGGCCCTTTTATCGGACCACGAACGACCGTCAACCTGCCGAGGACGTCCACCAGCTGCACCAGGACCATCAGGAGGATGGAAGCGGTTACAGGTCTCGCGATTTCCATTTTTTTCGATCGTTTCAATTTTATCCGTCCCTACTTTCTTTCAGGACACTCGCGACCGAGGAGTTTCTGTTTTTCGTCCGTGACTCATCGACCACTTGCCGATTTTTCCGGCGGTTTTTGGAGCTCACTCCAGGTCGGAGGATTCCTCGACAGGTGGAAGAGCTACGTGGTAACGTCCAGAAAAGAGCGGTCGCCGTATTGCGAAGGAAACTCCCGAAAATGCATTTTTTTTCCTCTCGAAGCACCGATAGCGTCGCAGCGAGCACTAAACCACTCGGTAGCAGAATTCCGAAAGGATTCAACAGGAACGCGACTTCCTCTCTGCGCGTTCTCGATAAGGGAAACGTCACTTCCTTGTAATCAATCCGACATGCTTTATCAGTTTCGAGAACATGGCCACATTAGTATTCCTCATATTGGAGGCACGAGAGGAACGACTCGGTAGTATCGCCGTTCAATGCGGATTTTCTAGTGACCTAGTGATACCTAGTGATACCGGTTATCAAAAATGAAAACGACCATATAGATTTTCTTCTGGATTTTGGATATCTAGGGTTTTCAGGCGGTAAAGCCCGAGAGAATTCACTTTGCAAACACTCTACAAAAAATATAATTGGTTCTTACAAATGTTCCGTCGATGACAATTAACGTTAACGGTGCAGTCGTCTTTTACGGTCGTTCTTCGTGCGGTACAAGGTTCACAGGTTACTTAGGTTCTACCATACATTCTAAACCGTAAAGTGGTCGGGCAGTGACCGAAGGTAATCGAAGGTGTTGCGGGTCGATTTATTTGTTAGGGAGAAAATCGAGGAATCCAAGAGTGCACCCGGCGATGTCGACCAAAGCTGCACTTCGGTCCGATCAAGGCAACGAGCGCAAGAGCTGCACCCAGAAGAGAGACACCGCAGAGAGCACCTGCCGTGACATCGTGAAGAGGAGTCCCCTGTCTGGGAGCTTTCGCAGCCAGCAATAAAAGACCGGCACAGCTGAGAGCCGAGAGTCCGGCAAGTCCCAGACCGGTCCAGGTTCTCCTGAGACTTCTGCAAGCTCCTGCGAGGGCGCAGCAAGCTCCGCAACCAGCGGCACTGTCCAGGTAATATCTAGAAAAAAGAAATCCAATAAGATGCAACCCCTACCGAGGTACACATTTTTTCAATTTCATGACAGAAAAGTGTAAGGTAAGAAAGTCTTACCTCCTGCCCTGGGTCCAGGAGAGATAAAGGGCGAGTCCACAAGTCAGGACGCCCACCAGGACCAGGAGAAGAGGAGCGTTCCTTCTGTCGTTCTTCTCCGGACCGCTGGCCAGGGTCGTGTTGGCCTCGCTAGGTGGAGGTGACAGGGGAGGGACCTGAATTGGAGGTAATAATAATTAATACTACTTGATGATGATTATTAATGATTATTGATGGTTAATATAATTGATTCAGGTAAAGTTTGGCTTCCTACTTACAACGGCAGTCCTGGCGATGAAGGCGCTCTCGACGCTCCTGTAGTCGATTCTTTTCCGATCCACCGGGACGACCTTGTACCTGGGGGACCCTGCGACCATGGGCACGGACTCCGGGCTCTCTAGATACGCGTACCTCGGTGGAGGGTCGATGTATCGCCTGCCGTCCACCTGGCGACCGGAAATGGGCTCCGTCAAGGGCAGGCACCTCCTCGCCGAGGGCGTCTCCTTGTTCGGCGTGGACGTCTGCAGCCCATCCGGCGAGAAGTTCCTGTTTCTGGGAGTGCCGATGGGCGTTCCTCTGGGACCGGGACTGGGAGCGCGACCTGGAGGACCCAAACGCGGTCGCGGGTCGACTTGGCTCCGATCGAGGAGACTGGACGTCTCGTACATACCCGTGGGAGAGCCACCAGGGGTCAGGGCTCTTCTCCGAGGAGTGCCTCCACCCTGCGACATCTGTGCCCAGTGCCTTCTAGGGGACAAGGCCCTCTCCTCCGACCTAGAGCGTGGTTTCCTCGGGGTCGACAGCAGCTCGTGCAGCTTCTGCGTCGCTGGATTATTCCTGGGGGAGACTGACGTCTCCTGCAGGCCATTACGATCCGGCAGAGCCGGTGGGTCCTCCTCCCTCAGGGGCACCCTGGCATAGCGACCTGGAGTCAGGGTGCGTCGTTAACGATTATGTCTACAATTTCGCATGTTCGGTTCCTCACCTCGAGAAGGTTCCACGTGGCGTCCCTCCCGGAACTCCTCCTCGGGATCACCAGAAAGAGCGACGTAGCCGTACCTGCCCCTGCGGGCCTCTTCTTCCTGCTGGGGGCAGCGAGGTCGACCCTGGGGAAGGTGCTCGTACCTGGAGGGGCGGTCTTCTATGTACTCGTACCTGGAGCCTCGGTCGTAGGCCGGGTCGAAGGTCGGGTCGTAGGCAGGATCGTAGGCAGGATCCGGATGTCCTGATCCCTGGAAAGCGGGGTTACTGCGACCATACCTGGGCTGCATCTGCCCAGGTGAGGGAGGCGGAGGCAGCTCATCTACTTGGAATCGTGGCGGAGGTGGCGGAAGATCGGCTTCCGGGATGTACTCCGATTGGCCGCAGAAAGAGGGGTTGGTGTAGCAGTGCACCGGTGCCGGCGGCTCCGTCGTCCTGGACATTTTTCCTGAAGGTGCTCTCACCTGTTGCAGAGTCCTTCGGGAGGTGCCACCCCCCTGCACCCCTTTCGACCCTGCGATCGAGACGAAGGATCATCTGCGGACCCCTCGACGTCGATCCCCGATGCCGCGTCCAAAAATCTAAATTTGACCCTTCGGGTTCACCAGGACGATGAACACGCTGTTGACGTGGGAGGTGGGTCGGTACGTCTCCAGGGCCAGGGTGACGCTCTTGATCGGCGCCGCGATGATTTCTTCCTGAATCCGAATCTCTTGCCTTCTGTGCATCCTGCCCTCTCCCCTGCACCCCTTGATAATTTTTTTTCTAGACTCCCCCCTATTTTTGAATTAAGGTACCTGGTAAGCTCCTTTGTAATCACCCTGGGGATGGTCGGGAAATTTTTCCACCCTTGCAGAGGGAGGACCTATCGCGATCGGACTACCCCCACTGGCGATTTAACGTTTTCCCGAATTTCCACGCAATTTTCCTGGTAATGTACACGTTTGTCGGGTACTTTGGTCCTCTGTAATCACCCTGGCGGTGGCCGAAAATTTCTTGCACGTACAGGAGGACCTATCGCGACTGCAGGCGGAGAGAGACTGCCGCCACTGCGTTCACGGTGGACGCGCAGAGGCGCTTCCGCTCCCCCTGCAGCCCGCAGGGGCCCGGTGTCCCTTTACGGATCGGGGGTCCACTCTATGGTCTCCTCTTTCCTCGGGAAAGTCCTTCCCAAGGACCTCCTCTTTCCCTGGCGATCCCATTCCTCCCTTAAAAATCACCCTCGGAGCGATTCTCGTAGTTTTCCTCCGAAAAATTCCACATTTTCCATTTATTTATTATTCCCCTCGGTTGTTTTACAGGATGCTCAAAATGGCGTCGGAACTCACGGAGAGCCGACCATGGGTGATTTTCTGGACAGCTGCGCCGACCGTTGGGACGCGTGCCCCGAGACGAGACAGCTGCCCCAATACCAACGCTCCTTTTAAATGCAAACCGACGCCTCGATGTACGCAACCGACTCCGGCCCTTCGGTTACAACCGCCGAAGGTAATTACCCTCGGAGAGGAGGTCGCGATTTAACCTCGCCCCTCCGGCACGCGACGCCCTCCACCTCGACGCTGAACCGAACAACAGGGGATGATCTCGAAGAAACAGGGGAGTGGGTCGATTTCGGGTTCCATTGCTCGAAAAATGGTAAATCTTGAAAGTACTATTTTTTTTTTACCTCGACGCTGAACCGAACAACAGGGGATGATCTCGAAGAAATAGCGGAGTGGGTCGATTTCGGGTTCCATTGCTCGAAAAATGGTAAATCTTGAAAGTACTATTTTTTTTTTTACCTCGACGCTGAACCGAACAACAGGGGATGATCTCGAAGAAATAGCGGAGTGGGTCGATTTCGGGTTCCATTGCTCGAAAAATGGTAAATCTTGAAAGTACAATTTTTTTTTTACCTCGACGCTGAACCGAACAACAGGGGATGATCTCGAAGAAACAGGGGAATAGGGTCGATTTCGGTTTCCGTTGCTCGAAAAATCTTGAAAGTACAATTTTTTTTATTTCGCAGATCGAGTCGGAGAAATCGAGGCAGGTGCAACTGCGCCTCTAATTATCGGCGAAATTTTCTTTCGAGAGCTGCGGAACGAACGAATGCTTTCTACGAGGAGGAGAGTGGAACTTTCCTTTTTGGGGTCACCCTGGTTCTTGGGACGTCGGCCACTCCTGCGAGGAAAATCCTGAGTGCTACTCCGAGAATGTTTTTACAAAACAAAGCTTTATTTCAATAGTTACAGACAAACCTCCTCGACGACGCCTTGTTTTAATTTGACCGACCCTCGATGCGGATTTTAAGGTACACTTTCCTCACCAGGGCGACGCCGCCTTCGTCGGCTTTTTCCCCACCTTCCGAGATGCCTCACCGGGGGTAGAAAATTAGTTAACGCACGGGCTTGAACTTCCGTTTAGGAGTCTCGCGACATTGTGCTCCCTCGACTGCAAATCTCATTTGACTAATCCTCATATTTCTATATTCATTATTTAAGGTACCTAGGTGTCCTGTATTGTCCTTGGTCCATCGGCGATTGTTTTGACTGCGCCGATTCGTCGATCTACGCGCTCGGGAATTTCTGACATGCGTGAATCTTGAGATAATTCAGAAAGGGAATGTAAAGAGTAAGAATGGGGCGATCGCCATTTTTCCTTTTTCGTGAAAAGATGTCGAATTTTAATTTTTTACGTATTTCTCTTCTCGGGATGACTGCGGTTCCTGGTCGACGTTTCCTTGGGATGAGTTAAATAAAGAAAATCAGGACGAGTCCGCGTTTAAAATTGGCAGGATCAAAGGAAACGTTTAGAGCTGGGAGGAGAAGATTAAGGGAAACTAGGTAAAGCGCGAGACTCCGGTGAAGCGAACGGAAGTCACACCTCGAAGAGATCCTTCGGCAAGACTAAAGCAGACTTTTGTACATGGACGTTTCTCGCCGAAGTCTAAGAAAATAAAGATGCCGAGCTCCTTCGTCCTCTAGCCAGCGATGTGATCCTTCGGGAAAATATTTCCCGCCCGCTGGATTTTATATCCTTAATATCCCCGTGAAAATTGCGCGACACTTTGGACTTCCGGTGGAGCTCGCTATCTTTTTCCATCGACAGGACGCTTCGAAACCGATTTCTTTTCCGCTTACAATTAAATCTAGTGTTCATTCTCCTAAGTTATCCTAAATTCTACTAGAGAACCGTCGATGGTCTTTCCAAGCCCGTGAAGGAGAACTTTTCGAAGGAAGCGAGAACGAGGACTCTCGCGTTAGGGGTCCTTCGACCTCTCTTCGGTTTTGTACGCGTTATACAAACTGTGATTCGGGGGGAAAAAAAAAGAATATTCTTTAGTCCCTTTCGACGAAGGTCAGTCGTACCTTCCGAACTTGCGTAAGGTCTACCTCGAGCATGAATGAATAGCGTAAAGTACGAGTCCTTGCCCGAGTCGTCCTTTTCCTTCCTCTCCACAGGAGGTCGTCTTCAGGCTCTTCTCTCTCCACTATCGAGGTCACTTCTTTCGATAGGAACTAAATAGACTTCAAACAATTGGCAATCGTGACATCAACACTCGAGTCCCGACAGTACATGCTAAAAGTTCATCCTTAAACATATTCAAGCACCAGGCAGGACAGGAAGTCGGCAACGTCCTGTCGAAATGTCCGACTTCTTCCGGAACTTCAGCTTCTAACCGAAGTTACCCGAAAATTTCAAAGTTCCGATGACTTTAAAATCCAAGTTTCATCCCTCACTGCAGGTGCAACCCTGAAGTGGAACGACGTTCCACATCCAGCACCAACATTTCCACACTTCGGTCTCTGCCTCCGTATCAAGAGACTTCATCTCGAAGCACGTTACATTTTATCACGTTTACGTCACAGAAAATACCGACAAAGTGCGCACTGTTGTGGAACAGTTGCCGAAGAGTGCTTCAACATTCTGAAAACTACACGTTCACCGGTCGAACATTGTCGTCCGATTGTTGCTGTTCTCCACTTTGCCATCCAGAATCCAGCGTGGCGGAGTCGCTCATGCAACACTGGGGAGTCTCCTCTTCGGAGTTGTTCCTGTAATCCCTGTAATCCCGTTCCCTGCCTCTGTCGGGATCCTCTTCCCTGAAGTAGGAAGAAGTGGCGGGTCCACTTTGGAGGTCCTCGCCATTTTGGGGACTGTAGTAAGTGTAGCGACCCTGTTGAATGACTTCGTACTGAGCATCGGGTGCCAAAAAGGGGCCCCTGGAAGTCCTGGGCTCGTCTCCGTTGGCATAATTATCAGAGGGATGATCGGTACCATCCGAGGATAACGGCAACGGCAATCTGGACCGTTTCGACAGCTGTCGCTTCCCCAGGTGCGCCGCCAGGTAATCCACCCCTTCCGAGTGCTCCACGCCTGAAACGTTAAACGTCGTCGATAAAAATTCCGCCCCCCATTTCCTTCGTTAAAAATATTTTTTTCTACTATCTAGTCTTTAAAAAATTCTTTAATAAATCCCGTCACCTTCTTTGTCCACAGCCAGGTCGTAGAAGCTGCTCTCGGGTCCGCAGCAGGACGACACGTCCCCGAAATAGAGTTCGCTCTCGGACTGTTTCGAGGCAGGATTCGCCTCCTGCTGGAAGGCGCCATTTTCGACCCCCTTCAAGGGCTTCCTGGCTCTTCTGCTCTTCATGGTGCCCTCGTTGCCCCCCTCCGGGTCCGTGCTGTTGGAAATTTCCTCAGCATTCTCATAATTGTCGGTCGGCCGCTTGGTCGGCCTCGGCCTGTGGTCCACTGGAAGTGGAAATAAATTTTATAACCACGATTAATAATTTCATAAAGAATTAAAATACCCGAGGACCGATTTTACTGACCATCGCCGGTCTCGAAATTCTCCATCCTCTTGGCGACCCTTGGCCTGGGCTCTGGCACCTGTGGCCTTCTTGCAGGACTATTAGGGTCGCTGTAAGGTGGAGGTGGACCCCATAGAGGCACTGGCGTCTCCAGGACACTGTAAGACGCCGCATTTGGGGTGTACGCTCCATTTTGGGAGTTCAAAACCGAGTACGGACTTCCGGATTGGGTGTTTAGGACGCTGTAAGGTCCAGTCGCGTTGTCTGCACTGGTTTCGGTTTGTCGAGACTGGGTGTGGAAACCGTAGTTCGAGTCGGGACTTGGAGCTGGTCCTCTGGAACGCGACCAAGGTAGCCTCCACCTCCTGCAAGGTGCAGATAAAAAGAAAAATTAGTCTTGCTTATTAAGCGTACCGTGAAGAGTCTAATGAAGAAATTGTTAATTTTAGGAACACCTTGACCCTAGACAGTGGAAATCGGACCTTGAGGGTGCCATGTCAGGGTTGGGCGTGTACAGGTTGCCAGGAGTCTGCGCCCACCAGGGGCCAGCTCCTCCGCAGTCGTTGCAGCATCCACAGCTGGTGGCTGCTGGACCAACCGTGCCTCCCTGCGCATACAGGGACCTGCACCTCAGCTCCAACTGCTCCCAGTACATCTTTTTCTTCTCGTGGCTCAGCAACTGGTACACCAGCATGCAGGAGAAAATGCAAGCGAGGATGCCGGCGACGGAGACCCCGAAGAGAGCCCTGAGGCACGCATACAGGGCTCCGTGCACTGCCTCGCAGTCAGGAGTCCCCTCGAACAGGACTCCTGGGTCCTTCCTGGTCTGCGGCGTCCCGTAACAGGTGCAGGACCTAGAAATGCAATTATCCTAATTATGGACTGTCCTCTTCAGGGGTGAGACGATGGAATTATTTTTATTCCTACTCTGATAGGTGTTATCCAGGAATTTTGAAGAGCATACGAGAGTAATTGAACGTGGTGAAATTTACCTCGCCCTTGCCGTGTAGATGCATTCTCGAAGACCCTGCAACCTGGACATGTGGACGACGGTGGTCGTGACGGTGACCAGGACGCATACGAGGGCGCAAACCACCCCTACGGAGCCGCAGACCTTCATCTGGAATGTCGTTTAATTTCCGATGAGTTTTCCTAGCTCCACGTGGGAGTTAATTAAAGATTTTCTCGATTGGCTCACCAGGAGACCGTAGCGATGCTTCCGCCTCGCCAGGAGCATGGTGAAGAGGCCCATCAGGATGAGCTGCAAGGAAATGCACGTCAAGAGACTCGACTCGGGGGCGGAATAACCCCGAAGGGCTTTATATATCGATACGATTCCTCGTCCCCTCTTCTTGAAGAGGCGCATTCCCTCTCGGCACGAGAGATTCCAAATGTCCCGACTGATCTCCCCGGCGAACCTTTAAAGCCTCGAGGACCGAGAAGGATTTATTCGGCTCCGAGGATTGGAATATCCTGGCTCTACTTTGGAACTTAAGGACGATTGCCGAAGAGCTTGACGAAGGACCCCGTCGATTCGGCCATTTACTCGAAAAAGGGATTCTTTGACGAGAGAACTCCTCTCTGAGGTCCTTGGAATGGACGAGTCATAGTTTAGCTACACACGAGTGTTGGATTCCTAGGACGATTTTTCATGGGAGAGGATTCGCAGGATATCTATGAGATGGATTTTTTGTTTATATTACCATGGTCCCTGGGATGTAAGATGGTACGGTTTCGAAAAGCGCCAAACTGGCGGTATGCGCCGAGAGGACAGCATGCACTGCCAGGAAGAGACTGCCAACGGCTGCACTTAATCCTCCGCAAAGGCAGCACAGGATCACGTATTTTCTGCAGCATCCTCCCTCCCCCGCGTGTCCTGGAAAAAAGGTCCTATTTAATTTCCTCGGTTAAATCCAGCCGATCGGGTCAAATTTCACATTTTAATCAGGCATTTCGGAGTAAACGTTGAAATTTGTCGTTTTAGGGAATTATGAAGGTATGGGCGATCCTGTGGGCAGGATCTGGGGACGGAAACCCACCGCTAGATTAGGGTAGTTTTGATTGAAGTTTAAGTTGAGAGTCGGGGATCTCGATTAACGAGGGTGCTCCATCAAGCCTCCCCTAAGCGAGATGGAAGTAAAACGATCTCGGGATTAAGTCCCTCCCCCACTTGGTGTCATTAGTCATTAGTCCTGGACGCAAATGAAAATTAGGCTTTCCCTGGTTTGCGTAATTTTCGCTCTCCAAATTGAAGGGCGTAATTCGGTTGAGGAGGAATCAAGTGCATCCTTGCAGGGGAGACGCTCTCGGGAGAGGAGAAGGAGGCTCCGAGTAAGCTGCGGAACTCGAGACCCACTCCGGAGGTGGTTATTTTCGAAAAGGACGTCAGAGGGGTGAGATCGATCGACGAGGGACGTACGAACTAGGATCACGGTCCTTATTCATCCTTGGATGTCCACGAGGCAGCAGCCCGAGTTCCCTTCGCGCTTGGTCGGACCTTAAAGAGGCCAACCCCTCCCTCTCGCTGAAAAGGTCCTTCGGTTGTGCCGGCTACTGGCGAGTCAGGGATAAAACGGGCGGACAGGACGGGGGGGAAGAAAAGAAGGAATCCAGGAAAAAGAGGGGACTCGATCCTACGTTAGATTCTGAAAACCGCTGGGTAATTGTCCTTGCGTGAGAATCCTCCGCGCGGCGGTTCCGTTTCTACCGGAGATGAGAGTTCAGCCCGAAGGCTGAATTCCCGTGAAATTCCTCGAGTTTAAAAATCCCGACAGGACTAAAGAAAAAATCTCTCGTTTTCCTCCGATTTTAAGGACTGTTCCGCATTTCTATGGGGGGTATTTTTGGTACTGCGGAATATTTTTAAATCGATAATGTGCAGGGAAAAGCGATGATGGAATAAATGGACCTAAGGAGGAAGGCAGCGGCTCTTTCTCAAGGACTTCCAGAAAAAGGAATCCGGCGATCCTGGCAAGCGCCTCGAAGGAGGATATCCTCGGAGGGAAAGAAGTCTGGAACGCGATCGTCAATTACCCGGGATAAATTGGGGCAGAATATTTATGGCTTCGGCGCCAGGAGAATGCTCTTTGCGTCAGGATCAAGGAAGAAAGAGGGATGCCTTATTTGCGAGGAACCTGCGCGACCGATGGGGTACGCTCTATGGGAAAGCTTAAAATCTCCTTCGGACCCGTAAGGATACGCATTCCTAGGACCTGCAGAATTGGAATCGGGACAATGTAGGTCCTTTTTCGGTTTCCCGGGGCAAGTTTATAAGTCCAGGACAATTCCCTCCAAACCCCCGCGGCTCCTTTGGGAAATCGGCTTCCCTCTTAGCCCGACCACGCAACTTCTTTCACGGCGGGAGGAACCGTCTTGGAAGGTCCCACGGAGGGACCGATCGAAGGTCCTGGGATCGAAGGATTCCAGGAAGATCTTGGAAAATTTGTCGCCGGAATAATCGGGGACCTGACCGACCGAATGGTGCAGAGGACCTGCGACTGCTTCAAAGCGAGCGATTCAAGAAAATCTAGGAGGATGCAGGAAGCTGCAGGGAAGTCAGGAAAAATCAGAAGGATCCGAGGAAGTCCTGGAAAATCGAAAAAAAAAATTGAGGTCCAGGAAGGTGCAGAAAATCCAGGAAAAAATCTGGAAATCCAGGGAGGTCCTGGAACCGTGCAGAAGGGTCCGTTTTCCATTTTCTCTCTCTCGCTCAGGAAGCTTTCTCTCTCTCTTCGAGGACTCTGAGGACCGGGAGGGGGCGATTAATCGGCGAGACATTTAATCGGCATACCACAGGGGTGCGGATAACGAGATCTCGAGAAGTGCGAGTGGTTGGTCGGCCTGGGCAAGTGGGATCGCAGCGAGTGCGAATGCGTCGCGACGGCGAAGGGGTATCCGGTGGCGTCCACCTCCATCTCCGTGCCCAGCCTGCAGCGCACTATTTGCAGCACCGGATATCCGTCCATGGTGCCCCAGGGGTAGCCTCCCCTCCCTCAGAGCGTCCTTGGATCTTCCGATACGTCTTCGATTCCCCGTTTCGTCCCCACGTCGGGATCCGCTGGATGGCTCTCATCTCCGGAGCCCCTCATTTCCCTGGATCTCTTCCGAGATCGTCTTCGGCATCGGGAAGGCATTCCGGATCTCCGGCAACCGGGATAAACCCCATCCCTCGACGAGCACTAAAATCCGACTTTTACGGGGATCCTCGACTAACCCCAAGAAATCTCTTCCTTCCCTCTTCGATTTCTCTTCGGCGTCTCTTCGCTTCCAGCGGGTGAAAACGTTCCCTCGGATAGTGGACCAGGAAGAGAGCGTTCTTCCTGCACTGATGGCCGGATCCAGGTGACTTCTTTCCTCCTCTTCGGGAAAAAGGAGTACTTGATGAGTACGTGGGGTCTCCCGGCAGGCCGCCGGCGATTGGTCGTCGCTTCAGGGACGAGTCTCTCGACGGACGTCATCACCGATCGGGTGTAAGGGTGACGTCAATTTCGAAAGGTCCCGGCTTTTCCGGGGCTTCCGATCCATCGGTTCGGAAGCGCTTTACAGCCCTCCCGGGAGCGCGGACCTCGAAGACGACCCTGAAGAGGTCCCCTCAAAGGTCGCCTACGCACCTCCCGGCCGATCCACGCGTCTCCATGGATCCCGCGGCTCTTCGAGGTCGAGGTCGCTGCACTTGCTTCCACCGGAATTTAAAGACAACCACGAAGAATGGCGTCATCCCCTGGAAGCCGATCCACCTTCCAATGACATCCCAGGAGTTTTTAGCGACTCCTTTCAAGGTCCAAAAATGATGGTCCAAGGTGCCTTCCGACACCCTGAAGATGTCCACCGTGTCCCGTGTACGTCCTCACCTCGTTTGTAAGTCGCGCTGATTACTTCTAGGTAACTTCCCACCTGGACTTCTCTTGGCTATTGGATCCGCACCTCTTCGGCTTTTTTGGATATCCACGTGCTTGGGGTTCTTCTACCCTGGGCGTCAGCGATCGGGGACACTTCTATCGCTCGTGGCGTCCTCCGGATACCCCGTGACCCCCGGGATTCGGGAGGCCCGACGTCCACGGGGCGACGGACGCGATTAAACTCGACGCCCCGCGTCACGAGGACGGCACCGGCTCGACGAATCGATGCCAACGTCGTGATGGTAGGGATAAAGTTGGCCGATTATCACTCGGCGCGGGATCCTCCGGCACCTTCATCCTCCGCGCTCCGGCGGTCCAGCGAGCTCTTCCCGGCCCGCACGCGCAACCCGTGGCGGGAGCCTCCTCTGCTGCTGGTCGATACGCCCTCCTGGTGGCCCGCGCCGCTGTGGAGGTCCCCGATGTACCGATCGAGCTCGGAGGTCCACCTTTCGACGATCGATCAGCTGATCGCCCAGGTAAAGCAGGCAAGGGTTGACGATCCCCAGGTCCAGTCGGTAGACTACCCGACGTGTGTCGGCGAGGTGGACGTTCTTTCAACTTGGGTCGACAAGGAGGATTTTTTTCAACACGGTCGGCGAGGTGGAGTTTTTCCAACTTGGGTCGATGAGGAGGATTTTTTTCATCACGGTCGGCGAGGTGGAGTTTTTCCAAATTGGGTCGACGAGGTGGATTTTTTTCAACACGGGTCGGCGAGGTGGACGTTCTTTCAACTTGGGTCGGCGAGGAGGATTTTTTTTAACACGGTCGGCGAGGTGGAGTTTTTTCAACTTGGGTCGACGAGGAGGATTTTTTTCAACACGGGTCGGCGAGGTGGAGTTTTTCCAACTTGGGTCGACGAGGAGGACTTTTTTCAACACGGGTCGGCGAGGTGGAGTTCTTTCAACTTGGGACGACGAGGTGGATTTTTTTCAACACGGGTCGGCGAGGTGGAGTTTTTCCAACATAGGTCACAAGTTGAATTTTTTTCAACACTTCTCGACGATTACGGGGAACAGTTCCCACGAAGTCCCTTCGTGGTATACTTAACTTAAGAACCCAAGGAAATAAGTTACTTACGTTCGTTTGAGGTTGAGGTATCGTAACGTCTCGTTGGTCTAGGAGGTGGTCTAGGTGGTAATGCCGGAGGTTGATGGGTCCTAGACGCGACGTCCACTCCGCCTTCGGCTTCTCCATCGGGTCCTCTCTTGCTCCCCGAACTCTGCTGCATCGCGTGGCACTGGCACTTGCCCTTGGCAGGACTTGACACCTACGCCCGCAAGGAGTTCCTCGGGTTACACCCCCGCGACCTAACCCCCTCTTCAACATCCCCCAGTATACCCCGTAATACGTTACCTGAAGAGCATTGACGGCCATGAGAGGGGGATTCTTGGTCTCGCCGGCCTGCCCATGGGGATGACCATGATCATACACGTGCCCATGATGATGACGGAGGTCCAGGCCGGATGGAGTCCTCTGCCTCGTTTCCGGTCCACTTCCATGCGCGTGTCCAGTCTGGGGATGGTGATGCCGATGATGAAGATCGTGCACGTGGTCCAATCTACTATGCGTCCTGGTGTTGGCGGTAGACGAGGAGGATTCGCACGAGATCCCAGAACTCACGTGATGGTGATTTCCCGAAGACAACCCGGTCAAACTGGCCGACGAGCTCCCTCGTCGATGACCGATCAATGGGGTCGTTGATAGATTGGTTCCCGGTCCCACGTGGCGGTGCATGGTCGGGGACCCACCATGGTTCATCAAGCTGGAGGACGACGAGGTTCCGCTAAGAGCCCCCGACGTGGGGTGCAGGTGACCAGGTTCAAACCCTGAAGGGTTACTCGCAGAGTGGTGATGACCGGTCAGGTTCAACCTGCGATGACTGGTGGGCGAGGCGTCGTGCATGATCAAGCTGGAGTTGGAGTTGGCCCCGTTGGGTCCATGGTGGCGATGCACCGGGGAGCCTGGTCCGTTCATGGGGATCGAGCTGGTGGTACTCGTGCACATGGGATTCCCATGGACGTGGTGATGACCGCTCAGCGAGTGTCCTCCATGGGAATGAAGGCTCTGGTTCATGGAGGATCCCCCGTGATGATGGACACCCCCAGGCATCTTCGCGCTCCCATGGTGGTGATGGTGCTGCCGGTGCTGGTACTCCATCAATCCCTCTCCACCGTCCATGCTGGAGGTCCTGAAGTTCTCGGGATGTTTGTGGACGTGGGCATGGGGTTCGCTGAGGAAATGGTCGTGCACGTTCCTGCTGGACTCATGGTGGTGTTGATAGGGACCCAGGATCTGCTGGACGTCCTTGACTTTGTCTTTGGCGGGGCCTTGTCGTTGGTCCTCGAGTTGCCCTTCCAAATCGCTCTGACGTGGTTCCTGCATCCCTGGGGAAGGGTCCATCAAGGGTCCAGGACTGGGCGTCGGCCCATGCTGGGATTCCTGGATGCCGGAGGATTCCTGCACCCTGCGAGCCGCCTCGAAGGCCAGGTTCCTCGACAGGTCCAGATTCCTTGGGGTGCAGGTGATCCCTCGTCCATGGTGGGTCAGGATGGATCCTTGGTGCTCGTTGGATCTCGAGTTCGGGGATGGATTCTCCTGTAGCTGCTGGTTCAGGATTTCTGAATTTCGAGACGAGTCCAGCGAGTGTTGCTGATCCTCCTGGAGGCTGGGTCCCGGGTCCAGTCTCCTCATGGGCTCGAATGCGTTTTGCAGGGCCTCCAGGCCCCGGGGGAGGTCCTGGGATGTGGTTGCCCTGGTGCTGCCGAGACTCCTCTCGATCCTGTCTCTCTGGGCCCGGACGGAGTCCATGCTGGAGATGGCTGAGCAGTGGCACGGATGCTGCGAGCTCTCGGACCCGTCCAGCTCGTTCTGGCCCAGTTGGGACATCTTTCCGACCTGAAATCCATTTTCCATCACTTTCCCATCACTCTCGTTGCATCCGACGTTACGTCACGTCCATTGCCTCAGTCCTGATTGCGGACGAATTATTATATAAGTTAGTCCTTTTAATTATAGCGAAATGAAGAAGTGGAGGCAAAGGACGGACCTAGACGCGGGCCCAAAATTCCAGCTCGGGTCCGTTTCAACGAGAAACGTTCCCACATTAAAGAGTAACGAACCGTCCAATTACGATGCGATCTCGGCGGAACGATCGCCCAAAAGAATCGTGCGAACCCGCCTTTACGAGCACGCCATACTCGGCTATTATTAACGTTTTCCGTCCCCGTGAGCAGGCCCCACTCTCGAGCCCAAAGCGTCTCGTTCCGTCCGCGCGGAAACGCGAGGAAGTAACGAAAGGTCGGTTATCGCGTTATGGCCCCTCTGATTGTGAGAGGGGCCTTAGGAGGAGCGATCGATCCGTGAGGAACGGCCCTAAGAAGAGCACTCGCCGGACTCGGGCCCATAAATCTCTCGGGCATTCGCGCGAGACCGATTCTCGTGCGCGAACTTGGGACCGATAGTCTCCCGCGTTACTCCCTCTTCTCCGTTAAAAAAAATTCAAAACATAAAATTGGGCCCGACATCGAAAATTTTGGGACTTACCGAGAATTTTTTTTTCATGTTTCCCGGCTTTGAAAGAGATTACGGGGGCGGAGAGAAATTTGGCGAGCTTCACAAAAGGGTTGGGCCCTTTTCGGCTTCGATTCCTCGGGATAGGGCCCATTCAACATGGGGCCCAGGGTGCATTCAGGACTCGCGGGCTGTCACCGATCTAATTATCCTCGTCCACGTCTCTCCGGTCGCGTCTCGGTGCGCTGTACACTCTCTTCGTCTCTTTCCCACTTTTGGGCCTTATCGGGCCGTCGGATCCCGGCAGGGTCACTTACCTCGAGAAGATCCGTCTCAGCGGCGCCGATCGGGGCTCGTAGCTGCTCCATGGGTTTCCATTTCCTCTGCACCGCGCCCGAACTTCTTGGGCCTTGTTACGGCATGTCGGGGCCCGCTGGGTCTTCGGTCCCACGCGATGCGAGTTCGCGGCTCCTCTCGACTCGACTTGGCTCGATTCGCGCGCCCGGTGGTCGCCTCGGAGGATCGGGGCGCACTTTCTCTTGGAGCGGGCCCAAGATTGGCTCTGGGCCCGTTCCGCGATCCGATCGGCACCGTCGATCTCAGCCGAAACGAGGAAGGGAGAACCCGGAGTCGTACCGTGGCCGCTCTAATGTCATGGGAGACGGCGGGCCTTCTCCGCCTCCGAGAGGGCCGAGTTGTTCTGCCTTGGAATGCGCCGCTGCCCCCTGGTCGCCCCACCCCGGCCGACGATCCAAGGCCTCGGAGAACGGGCCCCGACCCCCCTCTCCTTTCCCCTCGACCCGCCGAATACCCCCCCCTCCACTGGGCCCAAACCAAGCCGGACTTGGGGCCCGGAAAAGTGGAGGGAGGCTCAAGACGAGTGTTCCCCTCTAACGGCGCGCGTGGAAGCTGACTCATTTATCTACACCATAGGGACATACCCCTGTCGATAAACTACCTTTCGGAAAACTGTTATCATGGAATTGTTATCCGATGGATTCCATGTACCCAGTGAGTTGGGGTAGGGAGAAATTGTGGCGAGTCGGTTCTCGAATTTACTAAATGATTTTGACGATCGAAACAGGAGGAAATTCATTCGCTTTGTGGATACGACTCGAGGGGAGCGGAAAGAAGCGACTATGCCGCCATCTTGAGAGAGGCGTCCGCCATCTTGCGAGCTTCATTCTGGAACGAGGAACGAGGCGACTTTGGATTGACCGATGTTAAGTGTTCTGCTGCGAAGTTTTGTGTTGAAAGTTAAACGGAGTTATCAGATTTGTGCGGTTTCGACAGATATGGCGAAGAAGACTGCGATATTGCTGCTGGCTGATGGAGCCGAGGAGATGGAGGCTGTTATAACTACGGACGTACTTCGACGTGCCGGGGTGAGAAATAGTTCTAACCTTAAAGTTTGCGGTCGATGCCGGTCACGCATCGTTTATGTAATTTAAGCGGGGTACGGTCGATTTGGTATCTGGTAATATTCAATTAGTTCATTTATTTTCGCAGATTCAAGTTACGATTGCTAGTATCACTAGCGATGGTTGTATAAAATGCAGCCGAGATGTGAAAATCTGTACCGATGTTAAGTTGGCTGATGTCAAGACTGAGAAATTTGATGCCGTGATACTTCCCGGAGGGCTTGGTGGCTCGAAGGCTTTGGCATCCGTAAGTTATATATTTTGTATTTACAGGAATACTTAAAAATATGTATAGAAATTAAATACAGCCTGAGGCATACTCTGATCGGTCTCTTTCCATTGCGTTTTTATCGATAAATATATCTTACATTTAAAGGGATCGTAATATTATTTTTTTGTAGTCGCCTGAAGTTGGGAGCTTGCTAAAAGAGCAGGAAGCTAAAGGCGGAGTGATTGCAGCTATCTGTGCTGCTCCTACGGCTTTAAAATCACACGATGTCGCAAAGGGAAAACAAATTACGTCGTACCCGTCTTTCAAGGATGAGCTAAAAGATGATTACAAGTATCTTGACGAGAAAGTTGTCACGGATGGTACGGTCTAATTATTTTAAATGACTGTGTAATGGCTATATATTATAATTTTACTCAAATGGTTTAAATTATATTTCCTAGGTAACTTGATAACAAGTAGAGGTCCAGCGACTGCATTCGCTTTCGGACTGGCTATTGTGGAAAAACTGTTAAATAAGGAAGCTGCTGCTCCAGTGGCAAAAGCGATGCTGTACGAAGACTATAAATGAAGTTGTAAGACTACAGCTTACGTTGTTTGTTGGGTTTTATTAGCTTCAATCAATGTGCAAAATTTATTTTAAAAAATGTGATTAAACATTTTTAGAATGTACTTTATGAAATAAGTATACCTTTCTGCAGCTACGCAGGTAAAGCGGTCTGCTTTGGAGTTCATCTATATCATCGTCTCGCAAGGTCATACACCATCGTTCCATCGACAGGTCAATTACATATCGCAGTGAACCAATTTCAGTGTCGAGATAAATGAGTGCACTGGATCGATGTTCAGTTACAAGAGACATAAAGTGAATAAGTGTAATACACGATAATTTTCCTTCAGTGGGTCCTATCTTTAAGTTTCCGCGTTCCTCATATTTTCCACCGCCAGATTTCCTCGACTAGATCGGCAAGTGGCGGTAAATCTCGAAGGACATATCGTTAAGCGGTATTCCTCGGTGCACGGGCTATTGTTTGGCGTCAATGACGATCGATGACTTCCGTTCCCTTCTTGTCGACGTTTACTTACGCAATCGCGCGAGACTCGTATCGAGAAGTCGGACGCACCCTATGCTAATTTTACAAAAGAAACCTCAAAACGAATTCCCGACGCGGCCAAGAGACACTTCGCTTCGGGATAACAGGGTGTGTTCACGATGTTATCGCGGAGCATAAAATGCGTTCACGCATCGTCAATGTGCACCTTTCGCCTCGGAGGCTTCGACGCAGGTATTTTAATATAAATCTCGTAACCCGAGATACACCATCAGAAATGTAAGCAGGTCGAGCCGCAACCTCGACCGTAAAGTACCGTCGAAACCTCCCCCATAAATCGGGATAATTTTCCCACCTTATCAACGACATCGAGGAAATCCCGCTCGGTTACTCGGTACACGTGGGAAAGAAAAAAAGAAAAAAAAAAGAAAAAAAATCGGTCTCGGTAATTTTAGTATCCGGTAATTTTAACGAATTCATGTATGTACTCTAGAATAAAAGTCGACGCCTCGTCGGTGGTCGGAAAACGCTCATTGAAATCGCTGCGGGGTCATCGAACGATCGGACCGATATCCACGGAGAGTCGGCACGATCGAAAAGAAGAGGAGAGAGAGAGAGAAGCGGCGATCTCCATTACCCTTGGTGCCCGGCGGGTAATTCACGACGGTCCACAAATCAATGCTAATCGATGCAAGGAGATCGGGGATCGGTACGGGACACAATGGTACCTTCGGCGTCAACCTGCCGTGTCGTGACCCGGAAACAGATCTCGAGCAGGCACCGGTAGAGACACCGGTCCCCGTCGGCGCTCGGAATTGCGATAGATCCTAGCAGCGATCTACATCGATCACGATCGGATCACCCTCGGACTGGATCGAGCAACGGTACCTCCCGGCTATTTATACTGACGAACCCAGTTATTTCTCGGGGATCCTCTGCCGGCGTCGATTTTTCTTCCAAGGGAACCGGAAAAATCGACGCCCTTGATTTCGGGCATCCCCGAGAAACTGCGACCGGAACCGGCCGAGCTAATGGAGAGATCGAAGCCGAGAAATCGCCCCGCCGACCGGGAGCTGCTCCAGTGCACTCGGACGCGTCTCGTTAACCAACTGGATAAATGGCTTGATTAATAATTGACAAATGCTAGCAATTCCGCCAGGCGGTAGGCCGGACCACCGCGCCGCGGCTCGTTACTCGGGGATATATTAATTACCGGGAACGAATCGGTTACCGGTTAGTTATACAGATGGAAACTAGCTTAGTTAGACGTAGTTTGCAATAACGAACTCCGAGTTCCTATGGAAATCAACCGGTGAACCTGGTCGGTTCGACAGGTGTCGGGAAACCTAGGCTCGCTCCTCATCCGAACTCTGGGTTTCGTTCGATAAGGTTTTCTCCATATTTTTTAATGTTTTTCTTATTTCCTAGGGCGTCGAGTCCTCGCCGAAGGCCGCGGCGACAATGGCGACGCAGTCGACGGGCGTTAACCGCCCCATCACCATAAATCCATCCCTCGGATGGAATCGGACAAAAAACCTCGTTAATGTCCCCGTGGAGGACGTCCGTCGAGACGATGACGAAGCCGATGGCTCCTCCAGGGATGAGGCCTCCGCCCTGGATCGTAAAACTCTGGGGATAATTTTAATGGGGAATCGATGGTGGTTTTTGTATCCGGAATTCTGGGACCCCGTGAACGTTCCGCGGACCTGGCCCCGCCTGGGTCGCCCGGAAGAGCGCCCTGGAGAATACGGTAGGGTCGTGAGAAACCGAGGAGTCGGGGAGAGCCGGAGGAGCGCCAGAGGTACGGGGAACGACCACGAAGACCGATTATCGAGACCCGGTCTCGGAGTCAATGTCAGTAAGGCGGCGAGATAATACCAGGGCCGCGATGCGCAAAGTCGTGACGGCCGCCGGAGTTATTTGCGCGACTAGCCACCTCCGGGGGTGAAATGGACACGGTACCCCGTGGACCTAGGGAAAGTCCCATTTTCGGACGCCGCGATTCTTCCCCGGAGTATCCGTGCCATTTTTGACTAATTAGCGATTTTTATTCGAGCGACGATAAAATAGATTTCATTTTTTAACGCTGTATACGGTGGAGGCGCATGGCAAGCCCTGAGGGTGCCGTTTTTCGGGCGTCGCGTCGAAACGCGATTCTTCGCCGGAGTATCCGTGCCATTTTTGACTAATTAGCGATTTTAATTCGAGTGACGAGAAAATAGATTTAATTTTTTAACGCTGTATACGGTGGAGGCGCATGGCAAGCCCTGAGGGTGCCGTTTTTCGGGCGTCGCGTCGAAACGCGATTCTTCGCCGGAGTATCCGTGCCATTTTTTACTAATTAGCGATTTTAATTCGAGCGACGATAAAATAGATTTAATTTTTTAACGCTGTATATACTAAGTTATGGTAAATTGTAACATTGTGATAGTAAGTCACGGTAAATATTGAGCAGGGGTGAAATGGACGCGATGAGTAACGGTGGAGGCGCATGGCAAGCCCTGAGGGTGCCGTTTTTCGGGCGTCGCGTCGAAACGATCTCGTCGTCGAGAGCCATCGTCCTCTGCGAAATCGGTCGGACGTATCTCGGCCGCTAAAGCGACGAGGATCGTCCAACTTGTCTCGGGGCCGTTCACGATTTGACCCGGGGCCTCGACCTCGACGTCGTAAATTCCAGGTGATCGGTTGTCGCAGGAGTCTCTTTACGAGCGCGATCTATTCCTGGCGCCGATCCTCCGCGGGAGGTGTCGCCGGGCCGATCCCGCGGGAGATCGGTACACCTCCGACGATCCGGTAGGTGGATCGTTTCGCGGATCGTTACTCGGACGGATTTTACCGTTCCGTTAACCGTGTCCCCCGTCAGTCCCACGGGATGGCGCGAAAGGGTCGTACGACCTCGGCCGGAAATTGCCGTCCGGCCTGGAAATAAGATCGGAATAACGATTCCATCGAGCCTCCACCACTAAAGAAATCCTCACCCGTGTCCATGATCTCTTTAATCTCTATCTCGTGAAATTACAAGGGAAGAGAAAAAAAAAAAGAAAATTCGACTCTTTGTCCGGCCTCGTAAGGGTCCTGTAGGCGGATCGTTACTCTCGTTTAAGAATCCCCGTTAACCGCTCCCCCTTACCGGGATAAGATTACCTTTATTTTATAATTCTAGCAGCTATCTCGAGCGATATATATTATAAACGAGCCGATAAACACAATGCGGCGCGGAAAGAGACCACGTAGGTCGAGTCTCGCGCCAAGTGCACCAGCATAGAAAGTCCTGCGTTTACTCGGCGATTATTCAGGAGACTAATTTAAACCCGCGTTCTTTCGATACGATTCGTCGTTAAGGGAGGGGGCTTCGGGCTTCTAAAAATCACGGTTACGACCCCGATGCGAAGGGGCTTTAACGGGGGGCAGTTAACGCGCGTTTTCCCCCGTGATCTATAGACTGTAAACGGGCGGAATAAGTACATAGGTGGATCGTTTCGCGGATCGTTTACCCCGGGGTTTTACTATTAATTTAGCCGTCGTAAGTCGCGACCAGTCGAGAGGAATCCCTCTAATCGGGGGAACATGGAGACGCGGGTTGATACGACGTAAAAGCTTCGAGGAATGTTGAACTCTGAGGCCGGCCCGGGAAACGGGGGAGTGATACCAGTGATAACGACCCCGGACGATTATTCTTGTTATTTGGTGGTCCCCTCCTCGTCTCTCTACTTATTAGTTATTCATCCGATCGTGTCGAAACAATTAATCGATCCCCGGCTGTATCGATGACCTCTCTCTCTTTTTCTCGAGAGAGCGCCGTTCGATCGCTCGGTGGAAACGCTCGTGTCGAGTGCCTCACTCGCGAGGTCGTTTCGCCGGTATTAACGAGGTGAAAACTGCCGATGAAAACGCGCCCGAGGTAGTCTTTCGCCGTTGCTTGGATTATTTATAACGGAGGCGCTAGCCCGGGGTCGATCGCGATCGAATCGTAAATCGATTTACCGAGGGCGGCGACGCCGTTTCTCATACCGGTCGGACGTGGAATCGATAATTCCGCGGTTCGCGAAATTCTCATCCGCGATCTGGCCCGTTTATTTCGACGAGGTGCCGGAGTAAGGTGTTCCCCAGGGCCTATCGGGGAGGAAATGCCGCGAAATGTTTATAAACCCGTGCAGGAATTATGGAGCGGTGCATGTATTATGCATCGCGAGGCACCCCGAGGATACGCGAAATGAGTAATCGAACCGCATATCGTGGGATAGTCCGGTCGCGACTTCTCCTGGGTGAGGTCCCGCGGGCTCTGGGGGATCCTGGGGAGCTGGGGATTTATTTAAGTTCGGGGTGTTCGGGGGTTGTTATTATTTTTCTGATTTATTTTTCCTTTCTTTTAGGGGGAAAGTTTGAAGCAGAGGACACGGCATGTTTCGAGGCGCTTCGCGGAGGAGAGGCATGACGAGGGGATTCGTTTGCAAGGATCGTTATCCTTTACGAGGTGACAAGTACCGATGGAAGCGAGACCGAAGTCACCCCGAGGTCGGGAGAGCGCAATAAAAGAAATGCCGCGAGGTAATAAGCCTCGCAGGCGGGAGGGCGTCTAACGTCTCTATAATCTATTAAAGCCCCTCGTAAAGGCGGTTTTCAGCGATGCTGAAGAGGCGAGACTCCTCGGGATGGTCGGCCTCGGCGACTCCCGGCGAGCCAGGACCTTGCCCTCGTCCTGGAGAGGCGCGTCCACCCCGAGACGGCTTGGCCCTCGACCTTCTTTGCACTCGGGAGATTAAACTCGACACTGAGAATTACCATTGCGTTTCTAATTCTTTCCTCTGTTTCAGGTGGCGCACAACTTCGCTTGGGAATTTCACCGA